TAACGAGTGGAGAGGGAGGGATCGCAACGACCGCGAACGTCCTAAATGACTTGCTAATTTCGACGACAATTGGAGCCGTCATCCGGCCTTGGAGCAGAAGTTGAGTCCCATCCTTGCTGGACCGGAGGTGACAGAAATTTGTGATTCGTAGCCTTAAATCACCATACGAGGCTTCTAGATGGTTGATGTGACCCACCCTGAAGATAACCAGCGAGTATCGCATGGAGACAGTCCCCTCGCTTATGTTTCCCATCCAGAACAATGGGGTTCTCCCTGCAACAAAGGAACAGACGCCGAGGTCTTCGTGCGTGCTTGGCGGGGGGCCGTAAAATGGGACGCATCTGAGTCATGCATCCGGTCTGGAAAGGGTGCAAGTCTGCTGTACCACCCGGGAGGATTGGATCGAGGGATACAGGACCAGGGATGAGATATGAGCGAGTGGTGGGGACTGTGAGATTCATGAATCAAGGACTGACATTCGTAACGCTGGAAGGCGCAATGAACTTGCCCGACTCGGTCGACTAAGTGAAAGCGCTGATCGAAAGCGCCAAAATGCCATGCTCCGGAAGGAAATCCAAGCGCGTGACGATGAAGAATGCCTAGCAAAGAATTTGGGTAGAGGATGGAGTGGAAGGGTCAGGAGGAGAAAGGAGGGCTGAATGTGCGGGTCGTCGGTATGAGCGTCATGTTGTCATACTAAGGCCTCTGACATTAATGTTCCAGCAGGAAAAGGGCCGTTGGGGAGAGTACCGAGACTCACGGGGACCATACCATAACTAAGGGTGACAACGACCAGACGACTTAACTAACATCGAAGACAACGGAGCCGTCATCCAGCCTTGGAGTCCCATCCTTGCTGGACGGAAGGCGGTAGAGATTCGTGGCATCAAACGGCGTTCGATCGCCATACTAAGCTCAGACGGTTGTCGCCACGCACCCTAAGATCGCTGCGGGTGGCCGGAGAATCAGTTGGATCAGCACCGAGGTCTTCAGGCATGCTTGATCTAGGACCCATCTAGGTCACGCCCTGCGTCCACTTCGGAATGGTGCATGGCTGTTGCGTCACCTTCAAGGGAGTGCGTCGGCCGGCATGGGATCAGGAATATGTAGGGTGCGAGCAAGGGGTAGAAACTGTGGGATTCATAATTCAAGAACCGAAATTCGTAATAGGATGACACGCAACCGACTCTGTGCACTGGGAGGGAACTCAAGCGTGCGGCGATGAGGGGTGGCTAACAAATAATTAAGCAGAAGGTTGGAATGGAAGGATTCGAAGGAGAAGCGAGGCCAGGAGCTGAACGTGTGGGTCGTCTGAAGCCGATGCAAGCGTTATGTTCATGTTCTCGTGCCAAGGCTTGTCAGTCTTCCGCGGAACTCGTACGACAAATAATCCATCATCCTCAATAGAACAGCTAGTTGGGTGGATCGAGTTGGAATTGGGAAATCGTGCGCTGACTCAGGTCAATGTCAGTGAGCTCGATGATACAGCCGAGGGCTACATGACGACCGTCGGGGGAGAAGCGCCGCAAATGTATGATGTCACAGTACCATTGCGAACATCGGGATCACTGAATTGGGCTTCGTAATTGGTGGCCGCGCCTCAGCACACTCCATCTATCAACAACCTTTGGCAACTTTGGTTCCATGACCGTTCGGGTATTGAGTACATTCTCACTCAGCGGGATTTGTGTGTCCAGAATCAGAGAGACCGATGGCCGTACAGAAGGCAATGAGGATGGGGTGAAAGCAAACAACCGATCGATAAAGGTTCGGTAGTTGAAGATGACTGTTCCGAAATTGGAATTATGCGCGAATCTTCTTGAGCTTCTCTCGGAGCTTGAATGAATAGCAACTCTATCGGAAAATGACATCAGATCCCTAAAATACGCGCGATACCAATGGTTTTTCACTCACATATTTAATGGACGAAATATCGCACAAGGAAGGCATGCTTCCATTCCCATCATCTCTTACTCTTAAAACGGGAGACGCCCGGCTCAACCATTGCCAAGAAATGGAAGGAGCGCAATCGGGGTCAGAGGAAATACCCACTCTGTTATGACTTCATCGTTCCGTGATAGTACGTGACACCCCTTGGCGTTTCCTGAGGAACGTTCCGGGGAAAGATCAACAATTGGTTCCAATGTCATCATGACCTCCCCCTCGGCTATTCCTACGTTATGTATCTCCTATATAATCCCTGTGCGCGAACCATAAATCTCGCTACGCCTTTCAGACCCAGTGGAACTCCTTTCGGCTCCACTGTTCTTCCACTGCCTTACTGCTTTACGGGCCGCATCTTCACGCCAGACCTCAGCACCCAAACCACCCTCCGCCTCCGCGTACACAAGGACCAAGGTGGCACCAAGTCGTCAGTCCTTCAGCCGCCTAGCCGCCCAGTGGTGCAGATCTGACTGTTCTTGCGTGAGTTCCGAGCCAAGTGCCTCCACGCCGAGCGTGATGAGGTTCGTGTAGAGGCACACGAGATCCATGGAAGAGACATAGGGAAGATCACGCATGTGAAAGCCTGAGAGGAACAGCATATTGGTTATGGCGCCTTCAACGGATTGAGATCTAAATTTGAGGCCGTGAACAACGAAAGTGTTGAAATGGCGACGTGTGTCCTTTTCGGACTTGCCGGAGAGGATGCATTCGTATTGGAATTAGAAAGTGCCCTGACTGATGAGAGATGTCACTCTGTGATGAGGCTCTCACTTGTCATACTGTCTACCATACCGCCAACGGAGTGGTGGGCTAGTCCGGATCACACCACTTCCCCTTAGAACCAATTGGCCATAAAGGCACATATAACAAACTTACGACCGAGCGAATACCGATTTCCACCCCAAAAATGTACTCCATAACCCGTCCTTCGTCTGCGTTTCCTGCAGAAGGTCGATGTCATTAAGATCAATACGTTGTGTGATTGCTGATGTGATAAGTTGGTCAGCGACGCCAGAGAATATGAATAAGGCGCCTCAACACACCCGGTTGGGTCATAGCCATGGTAAGGGAGGCCTGAAGCCGATTTGAACGTGGAAAGCAGTGTCTCTTCAAGCTGAGATTGGATTGTCGGTGACAGCTTTCCAGGGACTTGTTCGATACATACCTCGTTGGCCTTTTCCAAGTACCAAGTTGGCCGACAATCCACAGGCAGACAGCAACCTGCCTAGATAGCGAATGGTCGTCTCGAAGAAAGAGATTCCACCATTGTAATTCGCAAACTTATGACGGTTCCGACCCACATGGTCTTTGAAGGTCTGCTTGGCAACATGCTCCATCGCGTGCTTGTACTCTTCAGAGTTTTTGAGGCGCATGAGAAGCATAGTATTCATGGAGGATCACTCCCCAACCATTGAAATTCTGAATGCTGCCATTTGAAGTCGGCAAGAGCTCATCGTATCCAAAAGCGGCATTTCCGTAGCCGTGCCACGCAAACAGGGATGCATCCTTCCACTGCCCGAGAACGATCGTTCCATACAGTTGTGGGGAGGCATGCTGGGGGGGGGGGGGGAGGATGCCTTTTGCCATCAGGGGTTGGGCGACCATGAAATGTGATAGGAGAAGAACCAAAATATAGCAAACAAAAGAATACCACGATAGACGAGAACTTGGGTGGCAAAACGAGGTGACCCCAGAATGGATATTTCTTGGTGTATGTTGATTTGCGTTGCAAAAAAGGAGGGACTCCAGTGAGCGAGCCTGTAATTGCCCCATTGCTCTATGGGAACTTATGTGCACTGCCGTAAGACGAAAATTGGACTGTCTTCAAGGACAAGCTAGCGGAAGCCCGGATCCGGATGCATGTGATCATTCAATACAGTACATGCCACGGTTTCGAGCCCTCGCTGTAGATGTCAATCATCGATGAGTGGCATAATTGTTTACTGCATGGCAGGCAGTTAAATATTTCTGCAGAGGCCGCTCCAACCTGGGACGCCAAGAATTTATCACCCCTTAACATTTTCGAAAAAATCGCCGAATGCATACTTATCGTCAACCAACGGTATTCGAGCGCGACACCCACCACAATTCTGCTGTGTAGATCGATATTGGTCGGCTCTCATTATGTGTTCTTCACTGTTACTCCACGTAATCGAACTTTCGCAACTGCGATCACTGTTTGCAACGATTTGAATGCACCTCCCCTCTTGGGTGTTGGAACGTTGAATACTCCCAATTCTGAACGCAACATCCTTTCCTAGCTTTCGTAATTCTGCAATCAAGGATCAAACTGTTGTCGTAGGCAAGAGGGCTTGGATGACAGAGCCTGTCCCATCGTGAGCCGTTCCTTTGTGCACTGATACCGAAAACCGATTGCAGCACGACTTCTAATTGGGTTCCTCCTTGGCCACAGGTCCGAGTGCAACCAGGCAATCGGGACGAACAGGGGCGGAACCAGGATGCTCTTTGAGCTCCATAAGTTTGTGGGTTAGGTCGGGGCACAGGGTCACCTATAGGGACGTTAGCTTTGTTTATTTATCTCCATACTTTCTTTGAGGTTATGTATTCAGATTTGATATGCTGAGCGACTTCTGGGAGCCCTTGGAATGTAATTCATCTTGTGGAAGTCTTCGATCGTATGTACATAGCTGGTGCTCGTGTGACGCTAATCATTATCTACAGTGGAGGATACATGTCGGGTGAAATGATGGAAACGGCGAAGGAAATATTAATCTTTTAGTACGTTCAAAGAAAACCTTCATTCTGATGTGGAGTGAGAGGGAATTGAGGAACTGCGAAAGGAGCAAGATCAGAAGTCTCCGCGTTTGCGATACTAAGCATTCATTTTGCCCGACTGGGACTCAAAAGACAGTGCAGTGGCTGCGTTACCGATCAATCTGTTGATTAGTATTTGGGTCGATGGTTTTTTCTTCGCCTCCTCCCTACCTTTCATCCTTGGTTCATCCCTTTTCCAGCTGCCTCCTAGCGCTCCCTAGGTCCAGAAAGCTGCATGGCTGAACGACCCTCGCTGGTGGCGTCAGGGCTTAGGGGACGCTTTCTGTGCTAGGCAGGGAGCAAGGGGGTTGGCCTCCCCTTCCTTGCCTTCCCCCTGGGCCCGTGCTCAGGCCTTCGGCTTATTTGCCTCAGCCCTAGTCTGGCACGGGTGAGTAGCTGGTGAGCGGCCTGGACAGGTGTCCCTCCTTCCCACGGCGGGTAATCGTTGGCTACTTGCCTTAGTTTCTTTGGCGACTTCACTCATGCATCGCTACCATGTGCCTTCAAAAGCGTTACCTACCACCTGCCCCTTTCACCTCCTCCGTGTATTTACTGGCTCGTTGGGAATTCAGAGGCTTGACGTTCGGTCCGGGCCATCGCTGTGCTACTTTTGGTGCTGGTCTATACGCACCCGTTAGGTACATTTCATGCGTAAATGCGCATGGACCCTGCCTCTGGTCGATCGCGATGCGTCGCCGCTGCGTAGTGAATTGCCCTGTAGGGGATCTCCTTGCTACAACAACTCCCTGGCGTCGTCATGCTCTCAGCACCCAGCGCATGAGTAGATTTGATTCGGTCATGACCAGATTTGAGCTTTGCAGCGTTTGGTTGCCTCATTGCTTTGGACGGACCAACGAGGTCAGCTTGTACGTGTTACCTGAGCTGCAGCGTAGTGGAGTTGGCCTAATTCATTTGTCTATTGGTCTATTCCCTTCAGTTGATGGACGTTGGCTTCCCTCGTGCGTATCTCATCTTTGCGATCGGCTAGAGGCCGCTTCCTTCCTACCCCGTTCGGTTCTAGACTGCCGATGGCTAGTGTCGTTCGGAGCATCACTGGCCGAATTCAGTCTTCAGCCCTGGTCCGATCGTACACCCAAGCACCCTGAAGCCTTCCGATCTCAGCTCCGTCGTGCACCAAACCGGTCCCATCTAAATCCATCTCAGTTTTTCTGGCCCCCCTGAATTCCTCAGTGGATGAGTTTAACGAATCTATTCTACCCCAACTACTGGGAACCTGGTGTAGGTGATACAATCCAGTCAAAAACCCTTTCTGACTATTTCCTTTTACTCAGCGGTTCACTTCCGCTACCATTCCGTCATGGATGATGGGGGGGGGCATGGAACGGCTGTCACTGCACCGCTTCCCTTGGTTATTCAGCGCTCATGAGGTCACTGAAGCTCCAAATCATTCATTGAAATCAAAACTGGAGGCCGTGCGTTCTCTGCTCCGAAACCTTTCCGACCGGTTGGTCAAAAATCAACGCATGCCCATCGTTAGCTGTCGTTCACGTCGGGGTTCTGAACCGAGGCAACCGGTCCGATGTATCTTCATCTCGTTCCCCACATCAACTTTGACTTCCTACGCTCATTGTTCTATACGTTGCGAGCGACCCCTTTAAGATCGGCATGCTCCGCTACATTCCACCTTTGTCAAGGGCTGACTCGGCCGGGTTCTTTGCAAGTACTCCACAGCCAAGTAGTCCCTCTTCACAAACGAACACTCACACAGAATCATGATAGACGACGGGTCCGACTCGGTCATTTGCTGACGCACGTTTCTTCTCGGCCGGTGATGGCTCCGACGGCGGGGCCGGTTTGCTGCCTTCGTTCTTGTCCCCCTGCATCCGCTCGTTCTCTGGCCATCACATCGGGCCATGAAAAGGCAGAGGATCCCGATGAAGAAGAATCGAACATCGTCGACAAGGCGAAAGGCGTCCAACCTTAAAGGGGGGTCAAATAAACGGGATGACAACGACGAAAGGCCTGCTCAGAGAAGACAATACGTTCGGACTGCGGCTCCTCGTGCTCGCAGCATCCTCAGTCCTCAAAATGACATGATCTCTGCCAGTCTCAACAACGCTTATCACGGGGACATAGGTAGGTGTCGGATGGCGATTCCATAACAATGCCGGAGGATGCTCGGCTCCATGCAAGGAAATTTTAATCGCTGCAGCAGCTACCACGGACAAATCTGGGCAGGGCGGATCTAGCTGGAATCGGGAAATAGTGCGCTCATAGTCTCTGTCGGTGAGCTTGATGATGCCGTTACCAGAACTACCATGCTGCACATCTCACAATGATTGGGCTTCGTAATTGTAGCGTTGGAATTATCGGATCGACGCCCGAGAGGTGGGCGATGAAGTGGAGCGGTAGATCATGTAGTTCGGGAATTGCGCCTCACTTACCGTACTAAAATATCGTAATCCGACAGGATATTCTGCTACAACTCCAGAACAGCCAAGTGTGCTTCCGTTATCACATTGTTGTACCACAGCTAGGAGAACTGCGAATAAGGAATGGAGCTGATCAACCGTCAGCTTGCAACTTGCAACTGATCGGGGCGTACATTTAACCTGTTTCGTGTCGGTGTCACTTGTAAAATGTGTGAACACCCGTTTGCTCGGGGATCGATATCGATTGACTGATACATACAAAAAGCGTCCGAAAATAAGCACAGGCATCCTCATACCCTTCGCGTCCGCGGTAGTCCTTCACGTATAAACCAGGGGGTTTTGAATCGATTTTATTTATAAAATCTGTGAGGCGAGCAAGAATCTATATAGGGTGCAGAAAGACAGCAGCAGGGTAACCGTCGAGGAATTTGCGAGCTATCTGGAGTTACATATTGAGTCAAATAGAGCCACCAATTCGGCCATTCGACTCTGGGTGGGGGTCAGGTTTCAGGCGAACAACAAGCATGGCGTCAACGGAGAACTGACTTGGAGTCCTCCCTACGGACCCGGTCATAATGCAACAAAGAAATAACCCGCTACGTCAAGACGTCGACGAAATAATGGGTCGGATTCACCCCGAAGCGTAAAATATCTTGACCTGTCGGCAGGTAGTCACAAGCAGAGATCCGTGGAAGTAACTGACCGGGAAAATTAATTAGACTATTTCCAACGAGTACGAGTATCTTACTCGGGCTCATTGCAGCGCACCATGGCTTCTTGAAATTTAGGATCCTTCCTGAGCCCCGTAATTGCCTCATATATCTCCTTTGGTAATGTCGAGGAGGTAACACTCATAGGGAGCCCCATAATGTATTCACGATGGCCTTTATCTTTATTATCTGGGTGAAGTGATAATGATAGATTTGGTATTGCTTGCAGAATAGCTTTGGCAGACTGAATCATGTTAGAGAAGGTGATCTCCTTGAATGCGATTCGCTCATCGTCGTTTAAACTTCCTGGGTAAAATGTCCTAATTTGCCTGAGAAATGCAGGCTGTGTCGGAGTAGAAGCGGCTTAGCTGCCCGGCGGTCAAGCAGCGAGCTCAGACCCTCGTCAGTGCCAAGTAGCAATACATGAACGATTTTCTTCCGGCTTTCCAGCCTGGTACATGTTTATCTGCCTCTCTAGCTCGCCACCGTCTGTGCAGGGAATTCAGTTGAAATGCGTTGGTGTATAGATGAACCAGCCTTGGCCCCGGCGTGGATGAGACACTTCCCATGGGTGTAACTCAGGCAACGGAACAGTACGGATTCCAGTACTCGGACTTTCGTCAGGAGACTTATTTGTCACGCCTAGCTTTTGAATTCATCCTATAAGGAATTGCGGTCAAACAAGAATGGCGTGGCCTGAGTAAATACACAGCATGAGAAACAGAAGCATGAGTCATCCAAGCATAAACCAACCAAGTCGTTGAAGAGATACCCCCCCCAAAAAAAAACACGTTAAATAGCAGCGAACGAACGTGGCTAGTGTGTATCTGTATCAAAAAAAGCTGCCAATTTGGCCACCGGAATCTTTCTAGCTGAGGCAGCTGACGACACTGAGTTTTGTTTCATTTTGACCTCCATACTACGTCTCTCCTTCTCTTTTCTCCTGATAACAAGCGGGTCAACGAACGAGCCCTTGGAGAATACATCTACATCGGAGCATCGCTCGCCTGAACAGTCGGATGGGTTTGGAGAAGGGCGTTGTCCCCCTGAGGAAACAACGGAACTTTCGCCAAGACCTAGCCGGGCCAGACGGCTGCTTAGAGGTGGAAGACCATCCTGTACTGCACTTTGGGCGCGCTTCCTCGCTGCCCCAGGACTTGGACTGGCTGGGACCGGCGAAGGAACAGGACTTGTACTCTCCATGGTGGACTGCGTGCGCGTCCTACCAGTCATACGAATTGGGGAACTCAACCCGGGCGGTGAACCAAGAGATGGTGGAGGCGAAAGTGACAGCCGACTTAGATGGACAGGGGTACTACCAATAGCGGTATCTAGCTCGCGGCACTTGTGAAACTCAGGAGATGGCTCCGAAGTCGGAGCAGAGCTTCCGCTATCGGTGACCGACGAGTCATGCGAAGAAGTGGAAAATGATGTTAGCGATAACTGGTTCGCCAGTGGGGGCGGTGAGTCGGTAACCAATGCGGTGTGTACCTTTCTTGCGCCGATAATGTTTTGATGCTCTTCATCCGCGTTCAATGCTTTCCGGTCATCGTCATCATGTCGCCCCGAGAGAGCTACTGTGTATCTCTTGCGCGGTGTTGGACTCGGAGTTTTAGAGTAGACTCGAGTTTTCCCCTCGCCTTTGGTCAATCCTAGAGGAGATTCACTATCATCACGGACAGGGATTGACTGTGGCTTCCCAAAATCGACCGGTGGAAGCACCAACGGAGAGACAGAGCGCGGCGGTGGAAGAACGGGTGATGCAGTTTGAGAACGATCCATTACCGGAGGCGAGAGCGATCTTGTAGATGACGCTGACAATTGATGAGAATCGGGCTTTGGTAAATCATAATAGTCGCCGGACGGGTACGGAAGTCGGTTTCTGAAGTTGATGGACCTCACTGTGCCCGTGGCCCCAGTGGTTTCCGAGCCACTTGGTGATCCATTGACTGATGATTCCATTTCGTCAACGGACGATTGTGAATTTCTTCGTGGCGTTGACGGACGCACAGCATCTTGACTAGGAGATGCTGTAGCAGAGTGGTATGACCTGCTAGTACTAGAACTAGCAATGCCCGTACTGGAAGCGGAGATAGACGTCATCGACATCGGACTCGCAGGTACAGGCGAGGGTGCCTGTAATGTGACCACCTTCCCCGTGGAAATTGGCTGTCTCGCACCGACAGGCTTTGGGGTTGGAAGTGTGGTTACCGATGTTGGTGCTGGCACAGGCACAGACGCAGCAACAGGAACGAGATAATTCCCAGCGGCGGTCGGACCTGGTGAAGGAGATGGCGGAAGATGTAGTGGGACGTATACAGGAGACGAAGCCGCTTGAATCTGTTGTAGTTCGCTCCTAATTTGCAGCATTGCTGTTTTTAGATTGTTGACATCTTTCTTGACGGCATCTTCACGACCCTCCCGGTCCACAAGATACCTGCCAAGAATGATAAGATACGAAACGCCACGTCAGAAGCCACCTTACCTTTCAACATCCTTCATTCGCTCCTCGAGCGCTCGGACGTGATTTACAGTCCAGCGCTCGAGTTTTTCGAATCGAGCGGTAACCGTGAGTAGTGTTGCGGGTATATCCAGAGCTCCGGTCTGGGGATTGAACTGGTTGTACATGGAATTCACATTATCGGACTCTGAAGGTCGCGAAATCGCAGAGGGTCTGGGACCTGATGGTGAAAAACTGAGATTGGTGGTAGATACTGCCTGTGGTACTTGCGGGGGTGTCATCGGAGAGTGAAGGCGCTGAGGCGAGTTAGATTGGATTGGACGTGGGGAACCATTAGGTGTCGATAATTTATTCTTGGGGGAGATGGTCTGTATTGCCGTGAGGGCAGGATCTGCAGTCTTAGCTTTAGGCGAGGCAGGCCACCCGTCACGATTTGCCTTCATTCGCCTCTTTCCCTCCTCTCCCTCGTCTTTGCGTTGCTGTTGTTGTTTCTGCTGGGTTTCGCGGATGATCTCCTGTGCTGGCGTTAATTGAACATCTTCATCTCTACTGGGACTGAGTTTTTGCTTTGCGATATTCCACCATCTACTACCTTTAGAAGGGGGAGTAGACGGCGATTCATGACCCTTAGGGGATGCAGACGGCACGTCAATTGTGTCTCGGCGTCGATCAGGGCTTCTAGGATTAGGCGAGTTGTAAAACGCCTCACGACGGTCTTCGGCGCGACGTCGTTCCTCTGCTTCTTGTAGCAGAATGCGTTCAGCTTCACGTCGAGAATGTTCCCGTTCGCGAATTGCCTCAGCTTCTATTTCAGCATCGCTAAGATGCTGGCTTAGACCATCTGATTTGAGTGAGGGAGAGCGAGGCTGAGACGCAATATTTGAGACGGCAGTTGTCATACGAGAGGTGAGGTCAGCAAAACCGGCCGCTGCACTATATGAACGGTTGCGGCGAGGATCACCCCATACGTCAACATGCGGCTGGTTCGTGTCCTCCCCATCCTCGCTTGTTGGAGAGTCAGTTATGGAGCGACCACCGAAAGAGCCCGTCAACTCATTTAAGAAAGAAGGATTGGGGAGGCCCAGGGGACCGGCGGGGGGCACTGGTTTGCGTTCGCGTAAGTCCAAGAGAGCGGGAGACGCGCCACGACGTTGGCGGTTGAATGGGGATGGAGCGGCCATAATAATACCGGCACGAAACGTTCTTACAACACCCCAGCGGATACCAGCGCGCTTTCTCAGCTCTCCTTAGGTAAAGAAAGCGCGATTTCCCTATGTATATACAAACGAAGGAGAAGTTAGTGGGGTCAAGGTTGGACCGAGGCAATCAAAACAACCATAAACAAAACCACATCATTCTGACAGCTTGCAATCCATTTAAGACATCTTGGGCAGTATCGGTTGAAAGGAAGGAGTTAGTGTGTTTAGCCTGCTGCGATGCCATACATACTTATTACGAGGCATATCTTATCTAGCTTGTTCCTTGCCTGGGCCATTTTCGTCACCACTCTGAGTTTAAAATTCTGCTGAAGGCGATGGACGGATATCCAAACGAGCGGAGAAACGGGCAGGGTCCCAAAACAGGCTCCAAAGCGAACCCTCACTTATCAGTCTCGGTTCCGTCCACCGTGGTTTCTGCTCCTACGTCTCCCTCCCCAACCACCAATCCCGATTCTGTGTTCGGACCGCCACCTAGCGCTAGTGCATTCCGTGCCAATTTTGAGGCACCGGGTAGCCCTTCGTTCGATGAAACAAACTTCACGTTTGGTGACTCTCCAACGGGTGTCTCTTGCTCAGCAGCCCAATTTCTTGCACCCCCTGTTCAGCATATCCCACCAACGCCCAAGACTCCTGCTTCCGTGCCGCACACACACCAGAAAACTCTATCTGTGTCTCTTGCGCCACCACCTCGCTCTCCAAGGTTAAGGTCTGCCCCTGTCGCACCATTGCTCAATGCCTCCCCGACACGCCATTCTCGCATACATTCGCGAAATCTGTCTGTGTTCTTTCCCAGACCAGGTGTGGAGAAGGCGACCTCAATCCCAGAGGACGAAGATGTCGGTCAGATGCTTGAGTATCATGCGACAGACGCTCCCCCGCTTTCCGCACGTCTCGGTACCTTCAAGTTCGCAGGGCAACCAAGATCTGAAAATGGAGTCAATGGGACTGGTGCGCCAACTAAGAGACGTGGCCATCATCACAAACATTCGGTATCTCATAATTTCTTTAGTTTCATGGAGCCCGGGCAGACGCAGGAAGAACCATCACCTGAATCCCCATTCCCTTCCCAAGATTCTACACCTCACTTCTCGCCTGGAACATCGGAAAGACGTAGTTCTTTACGACCCCTCCCGATGTCTCATAAGCGGTCGCCGTCCGTGCACCTTCTATCGAGGTATCTTGATAACCCAGAGCAAACCACCGCCCTTATCTTCTTTGCTGCTGAGACGGTGCTAGGTTCCTCCCTTTGGATAGCAGGTCAATCTCGGGGGAGCCTCGCTTGCACGGGGCTTGGCTATTGGATTGTATTCGATTCGCTCGGAGTTGCATTATCAAGTGCATTCCCCTCCCTTTGGTCTCTCAGCGCCCAGGAAGTTGATCTCCAGAGACCGTTCGGGTGCGTATTGTACCTTATCGCCACGACTTTCCCCAAGTTCATAGAACCACAGTACTAGACGGCTTGAAACTACCGTATCATTCGCTCAATCTATATACCTAATTTTTTCAGCTGTGTACGTGCTGAAGGAAGCTGTCGAGCACTTCCTCCTCTCCTCAGAAGGCGAAGCTGCTCATCCCCATCACAATCATTCAATAGGGTGAGGCCTTGTAGCTGTGTTCTGTCTTTCACTGACATTGATCATGCCCAGGATATCATTCCCTGCCTTTTTACTTTGGTTATCTCTCGCATCTTTATTGTTATCGAATTTTGCATACCGCAATCATTCCCGACTAGTTGACGGTAACGCTGATGCCATAGGATGTTATTTTAAGCTCACCTTTCTCCCCGTAGCTGTCGGTTCCTCGTTACCTCACCCCTCCACTGTCTTCGCTTCAATACCCTTTCTTCGTCGTTCGGCAAGAGTTGTGCTGAGCTCCCTAAACTCCTCACCACTCGTCTCCCGCATTCTTTCAAATCCATTCACACTTGCTCCTACCACATTCGTTCTTCTCCTTCTCTATGCTTCATACTTTGCTGATAAGTGAGTAACACTTACATCTATACTACGGCCTCAGGGTGTCACCTTTGTCATATCTGCCGCTTACAGGTCTCAGCAAATGACCATCGATATGCTCGTGTCCTCTATTGAGACTGTATGGACATTCTCCATCGCTTACCCAAGCGCCGTTTCCCTGGGCAAAATCCTACTCCAAACTGCACCAGAGCGGACACTCTCCGGTGGTTCGCTTGAGTCTTTCCAGCGAGCCATAAGAGAAGTAAGAACGTTTCTCCTTACATCGCAAATCCAGTCGCTTACACTTGTTTGCTTGCAGATCCGACGGGACCCACGTATCCTCGAAGTTTTAGACACCCATCTCTGGCAATTGACTCTCCCTCGATCCTCGTCTCTCTCTTCCAGTGATGCTGAAGAGCTAGTGGCGTCTGTGGAAGTACATGTCCAGGAGGATGCCTCAGACATGGACATCCTGGAGATAACAAGGTGGGCATCAGATAAAATCTCGATTGCACTGGGGAAACCTCGGGTGGGAAGTGTCACTGTTTCTGTTGTCCGTGGATAGAACCTCGTGATCAATGCTACCATTTGATTCGACGGATTCACGGAAACACACCAAGTAGTCTGGATACAGACCGTAGCTTGAGCTAACGTCATCACATTGAGCGGCGAAAATCTCATTGAATGCCTATAGACTACCCCTTGTGCCTGAGGTGAGATGAAGGCCCACTGGTTTCGCCGAGATTGAATGTAGGAGCACCCGGTTTGGTTGAACACTCATCCACAACTCAGACTATTGCGTCCTATTACTGTAAGCGAACAGTGAGTACACATACTTCCATTGTCCCTTGGGCATAGTCTCGGGATACAGACGAAAGACTGTAAGCTAGAAAGTCGTTAGAATAAGTGCTCCAAGGCGCAGGAAAGCCGTCTGGTGCTTTGTTCGGGAGAGGCATCACCTCAAGCTGCTCCCATGCGCGCCTATCGAGCACCCGACAAAAAATCATCATTATTCAAAACAGTACTTCCGCAAGGTATAGATAGAGTTTGTTCGTAACTTGGAGCTAAGCTAATAACGTCACTACATCGATCAAATCTCTCTGCTAATATGGTGAGACGGTCTCCACTGAATGATCGTAGACCGCCTTCTGTCTTTCAGGTGTGATATGCAGGCTCTGAGGAGGCACTGGCTCGGCGTATTCGTTGAGGTGGAACGCACCCGATTCGAACGTGTCTCCAAGCAAGGGACAAAGCATCCATTCTGCACAATCCTATCGACAATCCCACCGTTATTTCTCTTAACTTTCCATAAACGCAATTAGGCGAGCACGGCGTACCTCTGCCTTCTTTAGGAAGAGTAATCTCATGATCCAAACGAAATATTTTGTAAGCCAGAAATTTGACAAGATGGGAGTGTCAACTAAACCCGGGTGTATATGCGTGAAAGAAATGGCTGGATTTCGTGCTGCAAATTCCTATAAAAAAGGGGAGGGGGAATAAATATTCCATTTTGAATGATGGTTAAAAAAACACTGAAACACTTCTTACCTCAACTGCCAATTCTGTGCAAGCTGGTCCATAAAATAGAGACAAGAAAGGTGTGTGTTTCTTCTTCAGTCCAAGATTGTCCAGATCCAAAGGCTTTCCATGGCCTGACGCGAGGACTACTACGACCCTCGCTGCCTCTCCCAATTGTTTGGCTTCCTGGAGCAATGGGAGGAATTCCTGAATGAACTTGAAACGGGAATAATACGTGACTGCCAATCTCTGATCGATCCCCTCAGACGTCGGCTTGAAGGCCTCCGTCGAGAGGTATCCCGTCGAAAGGAATAGATAGTTAAGTTTTGTAAGGCGAGAAGAAAGCGACCGAGCGAAAGAGGAGATGTTTGACATGAGGCTCACGTCACAGTGAACGAATTCGTAATTCGATTCAGGAGACTGTGGTAGTGAAGAGATGATTTGGTTTGCAGCAGTTTCGTTACGCCCAACGATGATGATATGGATGTTCCCTTTAGCATAACGAGCGAGTGCTTCGACGGATGCCTGAAGGGTTGGCAACGTAGGTGATTGCTGACGGTAGGATAGCCCCTTTTGTGCGTACCTTTCCAATGCCTGAGGTACCGCCAACGAACAAGGCTACAGGTTTAGGTGGTAGGGTCGCAGCCTCATTCTGCTGTTTAGCTTGAGTCAACAGGCGTGGCATGATTACTGAAGGAATATTGTTGTATGGCGCTTGATGACTTGAGTGACTTGGGCGTTGGTATCAACCAGTAGCACTGATGTATATATATGGAACCATTAATGTTATTCCATAGTTTCGTAATCAGGGCATGATAAACGCTTACGCGTCATGTATCGTACTTTGGCCGACGGCATGCACTGTCGTAAGCAGGAAACAATTTATATTGTGTCCCGCGTGGAGATACTTACCATGTATGCTTTGGTGCCAACGGCACGATTGGATGCTAAGCTTAGAGCCTACGTGGTGCGATGCATGCACGTGTACGGAAGTGGTCAGAAGTGGTCTCTTCGCACACCAACATGCGGGCGCCGACCATCGCCGACGGTGCCGAACAATATGTTTATCTTGCCCTGAATCTGATTACCTGCACAGCAGTGTCACTCTCCACCTAGTGAAATTACGTAGTTTGTGCCACTTGTGCTTACGTGTTTGACTCTTCTGTGACATCACGTGTATAATACAATTGAGTTGGTGTGATCAATTCTGCGTGACTCCTCCAACAGCCAATCCGATTAAACGTTCATCTTCCATCTCTAGTGTCTCGCACGATGTCTTCGTGAACAATGTAACGTACACGTTAAATGGTGCAAGGGTCCCTCTCAAGGGCATGCCGATGTACTCGATAATCTGTAAAAGCGTAAGCAACATCCATCGTTATCTGATCACTTTCTTGTCTCCATTGCGCATGTTTACCTCGAATGTTCGTTGGATGGGAAAAACCCCGACATATTATCGGTGACAGAACCTAAACGTGACGCAATCATGTTTGTGAGCGCTTAACGGGTTGGTTATAGTCGACGGCCAGTCGTTACATCATCGGTTAGAGTGCAGAACTGGCTACCGCTCTCTTATCGCCCAGGCTCTCCCATCACGAAAATCGGACTGGCACTCCCGAGTCCCAGGTGCTCCTGACTCTGGAACCTCCGGAACACTCTAGACCAGGGGACTTTGCTCCAGTTGCTTGTGCGATTTTCGTGATACCTTACTCAAGGGATAAGGGTCGTGCGCTGTCAACCCATTATAGGCACTATACTTGTTATCTCTGCATTATCCCTGACTTCTGACTTAACAGACCGTATCTATGGTTGATCCAGTCCGTCAATGAACCCAGTTTGTCTTGGTCATTTCGATGCGTTTCGTCTGCTGCCAATATCCCTATTGCATGGGACAGAGACGCTGCAGGAAGTACTCCATCATTTTGGCAATTGAAAATACTATCGGCTGCCTCCAGGTGCCGACGGACGTATACCAGACTTAAAACTAGTAGACCGAACGACGTCTCCAGCTTCGGAACGAAGATCCTCTAATTCGTTGGGTTCAATTCTATTGGCAAGACGTGTGAGTGAAAATCCCTCGATTACTGCATGCCCGTACGGTTCATGACATGCGTTCCAAATACGAGGGAAATTATGGTACCGAAGACTCATTGCACTACCATCAGACTAGCATCCGAGTTGGCAATGAGGTGAAGAAAAATGGGCAGAAATCTTTTTGACTTTTTATCCTTTGTTCGACAGCGACATCGCTCAGTGAGCCGAGTTCATCAAGCGAATCAAGAGTGACAAAATGATTATATTTACTATATGTATCACATTCTACAAGAAAGGCGGTCTGTTGCGTGCTCGTATCCACTCCGCTTGAATGCGCGTCGCCCCAATCGCGGACCTTAAGATGCGCCTGGGATAAAACCAATGTGATGGGCCTACAGAATGCCCGTGAACCGTTTCGAGATGCAAATTAACCAACTCAACCGGGACACCCGACTCGAACAGCCGATCGAGAGTGACGTGCGCACTCTGGCGCGACGCTGAGTAACAACTCTGACGGGTGCCATGGAGGCCGGAAATGAGCGAGCCCCCATCATCCAGACGCGCTCGCTTCATTGAGGGTCCCACCGTAGCCGAATCGTCATCCGTCTTCCGCTTCTGACATGCCGCCTTTGTTAAGCCCGCAACATCGTGGCGTGGAAAAACTTGCAAGAGGACTTCTATCTCATCCTCGACGTCTGATTCAAGAGCCATTGCGCTCTCCTGGAAACCTTCTGGGTTGTGCTTCGTCACCGAGTTCGCGGGGGGGGACCCAGGCTGTCACAGCGGCGGGGGTGAAAGAATCAACACCGGCATGAGCGTAAACGTTGAAGAAAGAGGAATGGCGCCTTACCTTTCTGCTCCGAATCAGATCTCTGGGCTTCACTCGTCATCACCGAGCTCGAGAGGGGGGGCGGGCTCAGTGGAGGTGAGCTGCTCTGCGGGACCCGAATGGGCGACCCTTTCTCCTGAATACACCAGAGCATGAGTCTTCGCGGTCATGGGAGAGAGAGGAGACACGCTTACGTCCAGCAGTCCAGGGGACGATCTTGATGAGATGTCGGGAGCCTGGGTCTACCAAATCATTCGAACCTGACGCCCTGAGAAGAACTTGGGCATGGTAGGGTATCCTAACGACGATGATAGCCTTTAGATTCACGCGTGTTGAGATGTGATGATTGTGGCGATCGTCAACAACGGCTTCAATTACTACGTCTCTGTTGATTGGGTCAGCCTTGGGACTATGTATGGCATCTTGCCTCCTACTTCGGGTTTTCCGGTGCATCAAGGTCTCCTGCAAAGCGTCCTCCATACCAGTCCAAAATCCACGGTGGGAGGCTGCGAGTTTGATGCTTCGTTGCACTGGCATTCTGAGTTTGCGCAGATAGGTGGTGAAGTGTTCTAGTGGGGGAAGGCTCTGGTTCAGCTAGGGAATTTTATGCAGTTCCAAACACCATACGTCATCATCTTGGGTTTCATTTTACTCGGTGCACGGAGGTGTAGTACGGAGGAATTTAGGCGTGTCGAGATGTCGTGATTGTGCCGATTGTCAATAACGGCTTCGACCACTGGATGCGTTAACGTCTCGCGCAACACGTCTTCCCTGCCAGCCCTAAATGTAGCTGCAACTCTGAGTTGTCGCACTGGCATATCTCAGTTTGCTAGTACACGTGAATTGTTCGTAGTGGGGGAAGGCTCTGGTTCAGCGAGAGGCGTTCAGGGGATTATATGTAGCTCCGAACGGCATACGTCATCATCTTGGATTTCATTTTACTCGGTGCACGGTGCTCAATTGTTTGCCTAAAAACAAATATTTACGTACACAAAATCCACCAGCCAACCCTAACTGTCCCGTCGAGATCATTGGTCGTAGTCGCTATATTGCCGGTTAGAGCGTAGAGCTGGCTACCGCCCTCGTATCGCAGCGGCTCAATGAAGGGCGGAGCCTCCCATCATCTCGTCTGTAAGGAAGGCATTCTTCCATTTCCATTCATCTCCTAAATCAGGAGTGGTGGGCATTAACCCAGTTTATCATTGTCGAGAAATGGAAGGAGCGGGGCGCAGTCAGAGGAAATGCCCACTCTAGCTCTGTTATGACTTCATCGCTGCACGACGCCCCTTCGCGTTTCCTGAGGAACGTTAATTCCGGGAGCAGAGGAAAGATCAGCAATTAGTTCCAACGTCGCCATGACCTCCCCCTCAGCTATTCCTACTTTATCTCTCATATAATAATCCCTGGGCGTGATCCATACACCTTTCGGACCCAGTGGAACCCTTCTCAGCGTCCACTCTTCTTCCACAGCCTTACTGCTTCTATCCACTTTACGGGCCGCATCTTGACCTCAGCACCCAAAACACCCTCCGCCTCCGCGAACACGAGGTAGCACCAAGCCGTCAGTCCTTCGGCCGCCCAGCGGTGCAGATCCGATTGTTCTTGCGTGAGTTCCGAGCCAAGTGTCTCCATGCCGAGCGCGGTGAAGCTCGCGTAGAGGCACATGCACATGAGCTGTTCGAATTGGTGGTGGAGGTGTCTCGCTTCCATGGAAGAGGCAGAGGGAAAATCGCGAATCGGAAAGCCTGAAGAGGAACATATTGTTTATGGCGCCTTCTACGGATTGAGATCTAAATTCGAGTTTATGAACAACGAAAGTCTTGAAATGGCAACACATGTCCCGAATCCGCTTTTCGGACTCGCCAGAGGTTGCATTCGTATTGGAATTGGAAAGTGCCTCAACAAATGAGATGCCACTCTGTGATGAGACTATCATACTGTCTGCCATACTACCGCCAACTGAGTAGCGGGCTAGTCCAGATCACACCGCTTCTCATTAAAACCAGTTGGTCATAAAGGCGCATAAGTATACGACCTAGCAAATACCAATCTCCACCCCCAAATGTACACCACAACCCATCCTTCGTCTGCGTCTCCTGCAGAAGGTTAATGTCCTCATCTGATCTAAAGAAATACTTTCATCCAGTGGGATGCGTGAGGCACTTGGACTCCACCTGACTTAATAAGACACCCGGTTACTTAGGTCATAGCCATGATAAGGGAGGCCTAAAAGCTGATTTGAGTCAGGGAATGCCTTAGGGGCAGGGTTAGTAGCGACGCCCACACAGCCCTCCGGTATCGCTTCTTTCTTATATTCCGTGTATTGCTTCTACATGTCGATGGTTGATGTTTGGTAAGCTCGACGATGCCGTTGCCAAAACTGAGGGCTACACAATGGCCATCGGGGGAGAGTGCTGCACATGTCACAATGCCATTGTGAACATCAAGATCGTTGTTGAATTGGGCTTGCTTCGTAATTGGCACCCAAAATACCAACCTTGGAAATTACGCAGCTCTGTCTCCATGAATATTCGAGCATTGAGCAAATTCCCACCGAGAGTTGAGACTTGGATGAGAAAACGATGAAGTGAATATACATACAAGTTAAATCGTTGAATCAGATCACCTATTTCGGGGGGAATTTTTCCAGTCCACAACTGTAGGGACCTAAAGATTGTTTCGTGAGCGTCTCGAACTTCATCGTACAATCCCTTGAGATTTTCGTCATGGTCTGTATAAAACCGCGAGGTTATATCATTAGATCGCAAAATCGCGACACCCTGCGAACCTCGTAAACTTGGAGCCACGATAGGAGTATTTGATCGAGATTCGGAATGGGGGCTAACTTAAGAGCAGAGGCGGCGGTTTGGAGGATGAGCCTTGTGGCGGTGATGATTGTTTTCTTCCCTTCACCAGCAGGGACAGCTGAGGATGACGGTGTTCGATCTATTGACGACGGGGTATCTGATTTAACGCCTATGTGTCCTAGTGGTGGGTGGGGAGTTCCAGTGTTTCCATGGACGATGCGCTCGCTGGGCATCATGTGAGATATCGGTGCCCCCCTAAGGGAGAACGGGAGATGGCGCAGGGGATGGCGGATTGGGCGTAGAGGGGAAAGATTGGCTGACTGCGATTGGTTGACATGAGTGGGACCGGGACTGGGACTTCTGCTCAACAGCTTAGCTATAGAGTGCCGAACAGACCACCGCTGCTTCCGGCCTCGAGAACTACCGCCAGTAGTAGTAAAAGGATTAAGACGGCGTCTATCAGATCCACCGTGATCTGTGCTAGTTGGTGCATCGCTTTCAGCTGGAGTAGTAATTTGGAGGTCGGGAACAGAATTCGAGGGTCGCACTGGGCCACCGGGAGGCGTAGGAGAGTGTCCCCTTTGAAAAAACTTCAATCGATTAGACATTCGTGTATCAGCAATCGCGGGGAGTATCGTGGGCAGAGAGGAGAGTTGAGCTACCTCAGCCACACGACATATAAGGTAGTACTGTCCTAACCACTGCCAAAGCAGGACCACAAATATTGAACTACCCTTCTGTCAGCGATGGAATGTTAACTACCCTACCTAGGGCCAAGAACGAAATCCAAAAAACCTACTTGTGTTTACTAGTATTTTGCAAGCGATTTTTTGAAATGATCTCCGTCGTTGACAGTTATTTGGTTCGACCACCAAAAGGTTGTGTTACCTAACCTTGCTTGTTACCTTGCTTGCAACGGGTCCACAATTCGTGGGAATCTTCACTTTCCCATGCCACCGTTCTGTGATCCCATTGGCTACTGCCGTTGTCTCATGATCACCTCACGTGTTTTTGAATGCGGAGTTGTCCGATTCCTATGTGAGCCAGGGGTGTGATGATTAGAGCCTTGAAGCGAGCTTGTTTGCCGTGGGAAGACAATGGCCGGACAGTGCCGGAGCACAGCCATACTACATTTTGCCCCAGTCGGAGGAGCGAAGTGTCGCGTCCAAATTTCCGGAGTAGGTGATCGGCTATGTGTTTAACTCCGTACCATGTGATCTTTTGTATTGAGTACAGAACGTGAGAACATTGCGTAAAGAGCTATTACTTATTTTGCGCGTCCACGGAGCTCCTCCGACTGGGTACGAGTCTGGTAAACGATCAATGCCTCGGCTAATTGGGAAGGCTACTTTCTCAACTGAATTTTCGGGCCTCAGTTGAACCGAAGTTTTGCTGTTTAGGATTTAAGCTGGTGTCTCTGTCCGCGTTGGGTTCACTTTAGCCATATATGGACGGAAATGACGGACCTAGCGCCTATCGCCTATACGTCGTTGACCACATCGCTTGGCGAGTTTACGTCAATGATAGGAATACGAATAGACCCCTGGAATTAGCCTTGGACCACACATGGAACTACATTGAGGGAAAGAATACCACTGCGCCTCCCCCATCCAAAAACGAACATGAGGGCTGGGTGGTAGGTGATAGAAACACACGCAGAAGGATCTGGCTCGCTCTCAGCGAACCCGCTCAACAGGCAGTCTTCCATCACTTCAGAAGTCCCGCTGCCACTCTATTCAAAGCGCTGAAGAGTGCGTATGAATACTCTGGTGCCTCCGCGGAATTCTACGCAAGACAGAAATATGATAACACCAAAATCAATAACCATGAATCCACAGCAGACTATCTGACAGACCTCGTAAACCTCGCTCACCACGTCAACAGGGAGATCACTGGCAACCAGGGGCGCATTGAAGATAAGTAGAACGATCGGCATGCGTCTCATTCACTCCCTCTCTCCTTGCATGCGCACCTTGCAAACGATCCTCGTCAGAACCGCCCCGACAATCTTGACGAACTTCGAAGAGCGAGGACGGTCGATCGAAGAGGAGGAGAGACCCCAACAATCCAACTTGGATCACTCGCGAAAGCTGCTGGAGATGCGGGAAGACTCCCTGTTAGCACACTTCCGGGATCTGCACGTCAGAAGGAAGAAATAGTAACGTTCAGGAGTGCTTTATCTACCCACAGCCTTAAGGATTCCCATATCGGTTTTCACAACCATCGCCCCTTTATGGCCCTCTCTCTACTTCTGCAGTGACCCCACCATACTGGGGAGTGTTCTGGACACACAATTCCGTTGAACGAGGATTTACTCAACGCGCGAACGGTCAAAATTACCAAAGAAAGTTAATAGGTGGGGTGCGCAGGAGGCCAAATTACGAAGCCTAATCATTGTGAGATGCGCAGCACGGTAGTTCTGGTAACGGTATCATCAAGCTCACCGACATAGACCATGAGCACACTATTTCCCGATTCCAGCTTGATCCGCCCTGCCTAGATTTGTCCGTGGTAGCTGCTGTGCCGATTAAGATTTCCTTGCATGGAGCCGAGCATCCTCCCGACATTGGTTGATGCACTCATGGAATCGCTGTCCTACACCCACCTATGGCCCAGTGATAAGCGTTGTTGAGACTGGCAGATATCTTGCCACTTTGAGGACTGGGGATGCTGCAAGCACGAGGAGCCACATTCCGAACAGATTGACTTCGTTCGGCATGAAAATCTGCACTTGGAATTCCAAGCGGAACCAGCAGGCCTTTCGTCGTTGTCATCCCATTTATTTGGCCCTCTTTAAGGCTAAATGCATTTCGCCTTGCCGACGTGCAGGGGGACAAGAACGAAGGCAGCAAACTGGCTTCGCTGTCGGAGCTATCATCGGTTGAGAAGAAATGCGTGTCAGCAAATGACCGAGTCGGACCCGTCGTCTATCATGATTCTGTGTGAGTGTTCGTTTGTGAAGGGAGACTACTCGGCTGTGGAGTACTTGCAAAGAACCTGGCCGAGTCAGCCCTTGACAAAGGTGGAACGTAGCAGAGCATGCCAATGTTAAACGGGGTTGTTTGCAACGTGTAAAGTAACGGGCGCAGGAAGTCAAAGTTGATGCGGGGAACGAGATGAGGATACATCGGGCCAGTTGCCTCGGTTCAGAACCCTGACGTGAACGACAGCTAACGATGGGCATGCATTGGTTTTTGACCCTTCGGAAAGGTTTCGGAGCAGAGAACGCACGGCCCCCGGTTTCGATTTCAATGCATGATTTGGAGCTTCAGTGGACGTCATGAGCGCTGAATAACCAAGGGAAGCGGTGCAGTGACAGCCCTTCCATGTCCCTTCATCATCCGTGACGGAATGGTAGCGGAAGTGAACTACTGAGTAAAAGGAAAGAATAGACTCGTTAAACTCATCCACTAATGAATTCAGGGGGCCAGAAAAACTATGGAATTAGATGGGACCGGTTCGGTGCACGACGAAGCTGAGATCGGAAGGCTTCAGGGTGGTTGGGCGTATGATTGGACCAGGGCTGAAGACTGAATTCGGCCAGTGATGCTCCGAACGACATCAGCCATCGGCAGTCTAGAACCGAACGGGGTAGGAAGGAAGCAGCCTCAGCCCATCGCGAAGATGAGATACGCACGAGGGAAGCGAACGTCCATCGACTGAAGGGAATAGACGAATAGACGAATGAATTAGGCCAACTCCACTATGCTGCAGCTCAGGTAAGACGTACAAGCTGATCTCGTTGGTCCGTCCAAAGCAATAAGGCAACCAAACGCTGCAAAGCTCAAATCTGGTCATGACCGAACCATATCTACTCATGCGCTGGGTGCTGAGAGCATGACGACGCCAGAGGGAGTTGTTATAACAAGGGGATCCCCTACAGGGCAATTCACTACGCAGCGGCGACGCATCGCGATCGACCAGAGGCAGGGTCCATGCGCATTTATACATGAAATGTACCTAACGGGTGTGTGAGCAGACCAGCACCAAAAGCAGCACAGCGATGACCCGGACCAAACGTCAGAGCCTCTGAATTCCCAACGAGCCAGTAAACACACGGAGGAGGTGAAAGGGGAAGGTGGTAGGTAACGCTTTTGAAGGCACATGGCAGCGATGCATGAGTGAGGAAAACAAGTCGCCAAAGAAACGAAGGCAAGCAGCCGATGGTTACCCACCATGGGAAGGGGTGAGTAATAGGGACACCTGTCCAGGCCGCTCACCAGCTACTCACCCGTGACAGACTAGGGCCGAGGCAAATAAGCCAAAGGCCTGAGCACGGGCCCAGGGAGAAGGCAAGAAAGGGGAGGCCAACCCAACTCCTTCCTCCCTACCCCCTCCAGAAAGCGCCCCCTAAGCCCTGATGCCACCAGCGAGGGTCGTTCAGCCACGCAGCTTTCTGAACCTAGGGAACGCTAGGAGCTGGAAAAGGGATGAACCAAGGATGAAAGGAGCAGGAGGCGAAGAAAGAACCTTCGACCCAAACACTAGTCAACAGATTGGCTGCATACTAATATGCAGCCACTGCTATTCGCCGTCATACTGTACTTGATTGCACGATCTGTTTGGCAACAACCACATGATATAACGTAAAACGATGTTGCGTGACTTGTGTTCTCGGCGTTTGCGGAAGCATAGTTGCTATATAACGTAAACCTGCACCGATAGGTCATAAAAATCGGACTGGCGCTCCAGGTGCTCCCGGCTCTGGAGCCCCCGGACCAGAGGACTTTAGTCCAGTTGCTTGTGCGATTTTCGTGATGCCTCACTCGAGGGGTAGCATGGCAGCGGTCGTGCGCTGTCAACCCATAGGCACTAGTTATCTCTGCATTATTCCCGACTTCTGACTTGACGGACCGTAACTATGATTGAGTCAGGTTGATCCAGTCCGTCAATGAACCCAGTTTTTCTTGGTCATTTCGATGCGTTTCGTCTGCTGAGCCAATATCCCTAATGCATGGGACGACGCCGCAGGAAGTACTCCATCATTTTGGCAATTTAAAATGCTATCAGGTGCTCACGGCCTAGCACAACGTGCAATTGTGGGTCCTGTCTCTTGCCCTCCTATCATCGTATCTCACAAATATTATGTTCTCCCAATAGGCATGCGACATAGCCGAAGGGGCCGATATCATCATGGTCAAGGCAGCGTTACCTTGATGTCCTCTCCAAACTCGTGATCGGCTCACCCCTAACCATCCCCTCGCGGCATACCAGGTCTCCGGAGAGTATGCTATTATTGTGGCGGGTGCGCGTGCTGGGGTGTATGGTTTAAAAACGAGGGCGTTCGAAAGCGTGACTCGTATAGTTCGGGAGGCTGGTCGGTATAATCCTTAAGCCATTCGCGCTAGCATTTTGACTGTGTTTCTGATAAACCAGCTAAGCTCCTAATTACACGAAAACACGGTTGTCAATGTTAACGTCCAGTTATTGGCCTCTGTTGTTGAGGGTGTGGCGTAGCGTTACCGTTTATAGCGATTATCATATTTGTGCGCTGCTCGGCGAGCGCTTCGCTTACAGAGCGGAAATTTTCTTGTTTAGGTCATTCCATAGTTCATATACAACGAGACCGAGGTGAGATATCTTTCTTGTTAGTTGCCTCCAGCGCTTTCACGCTAGGTAGTCATTAACATTAAATTGTAGTTCACGTATACCGGACCTGAAATTCTAATAACTGGTAGCCCGAACGACGTCTCTAGCTTCGGAACGAGGATCCTCTAATTCGTTGGATACAATTCTTATTGGCAAGACGTGAGAGAAAATCCCTCGTTTACCTCTGCATGCCGGCACGGTTCATGACGTGTGTTCCGAATACGAGCGAAATTATGATACCGAAGACTCATTGCACTGCCATCAGACTGGCATCCGAGTTGGCACCGAGGCGAAGAAAAATGGGCAGAAATCTTTCTTCCTACTTTCCCTCATATATATCTCCCCTGCGAAATTGAGGTGAGAGCCGCTGCCCTCACAGAACGTTTATTTTCGTAAGTTGTGTCAACACTTAGGGCGTAATTATCACAAACGGCGAAAATAAAATTACGTGTATCCGGAGGGGTAATTATGTAGATATAGGTTTTTGGGCACATGTAATGATATTAACTTGTGGTACTGGGACGGGCTGCAAGTGCAACGTGATGCTATGCATACGGGGGAAACTATTGCGAAGAATGCCATTAATGCGGTAGATATAGAGGCTTGTTATAGCTGATGGCAGTTGCCGAGTTTACCAAAGCGAATCAAGAGTGACAAAATGGTTACATTTACTATATGTGTCAAAGAAGGGTGATGTGCTGTGGTTGTGTCTACTGTGCGTCGGTTCAATCATGGTTAAACCGACGTGATGGGCCTAATGTCATCCTGCAGAATGCCCGTGAACCTCGCCGTCGTTTCGAGATGTTCGAGATGCAAATTGACCAAATCAACCGGGACACCTGACTTGAATAGCCGATCGAGAGTGTCGTGCGCACTCTGGCGCGACGCTGAATAACGGCTCTGGCGGGTGCCGTGGAGGCCGGAAATGAGTGAGCCCCCACCATCCAGACGCGCTCGCTTCGTTGGGGGTCCCGCCGTCGCCAAATCGTCTTCTTTCTTCCGCTTCTGAAAGGCTGCGCATACCGCCTTCGCTAAGCCCGCAACATCGTGGCGTGGAAACACTTGCAAGAGGACTTCTATCTCATCCTCGAGGTCTGATTCAAGAGCCATTGCGCTCTCCTGGAAACCTTCTGGGTTGTGCTTCGTCACCGAGTTCGCGGGGGGGGACCCTGTCACAGCGGCGGGGGTGAAAGAATCAACACCGGCATGGGCGTAAACGTGGAAGAAAGAGGAATGGCGCCTTACCTTTCTGCTCCGGATCGGATGTCTGGGCTTCACTCGTCATCACCGAGCTCGAGAGGGGGGCGGGCTCGATGGCGATGGGGGGAGGTGAGGTGAGCTGCTCTGCGGGACCCGAATGGGCGACCCTTTCTCCTGAATACACCGCAGCATGAGTCTTCACGGTCATGGGAGAGAGAGGAGACACGCTTACGTCCAGCAGTCCAGGGGACGATCCTGATGTGGTCGCGGGATCCTGGGTCTACCAAATCATTCGAACTTGACGCTCTAAGAAGCAGTTGTGCATGGTAGGGGATCCTAACAACGACGATAGCCTTTAAATTCGCGCGTGTCGAGATGTGATGATCGTGGCGATCGTCAACAACGGCTTCGATCGTTATGTCTCTGATGATTGGGTCAGCCTTGGGATGACGTACGGTTTCTTGCCTCCTACTTTGGGTTTTCTGACCCCAGGCGACGCATCAATGTCTCCTGCAAGGCATTTTCGGAGCCCATCCGAAATCCACGGAACGATACCGCGAGTCTGATGTTCTTATGAGCGGGCATGGTTCGGTTTGTGCAGACAGGTAGTGTACTGTGATGAACTGTGGTGAATTGGATCGTGGGGGAAGGCTCTGGTTCAGCCAGAGGTGTTCAGGGGATTATATGTAGTTCGAGATGCCATACGTCATCATGGATTTCATTTTACTCAGTGCACGGAGGTGTAGTACGGAGGTGTAGTTTCCCAGTTGAATGCCTGAAAACAAGTATTTACATGCACAAATCTGCCGGCCAACCATGACTGTCCAGTCGAGATCGTTGATCGTAGTCGCTATATCATCAGTTAGAGCGCAGAGCTGGCCACCACTCTCGTACCGCAGCGGCTCAATAGCCTCCATCACCTCGTCTGTCGAGCCCTTGAAAGACACCAGAGCACCGGCACTTGTCCTTCTCCGTCCGCGTCGGATTCACTTTAGCCATATATGGATGGAGACGTGGTGAAATGACGCACCTGTCAGTATACGTCATTGACCATTTCCCTTCGCGAGTTTACGTCAATGACAAGAATAGGAATATCATCACATCCACGCCGATGTACAATTCTTGCGCGCTATGATAATTGCGAGGCATCCATTCTGCTAGTACAAGGTTTCAACTGTCCGCGGGGGTCAAAATCTCATGTCAGTAAGCATTTGATAATGTCTATATATCGATCTAGGGTCGTATTCCCGTTTCATACTAGTCATTCCGATTATTCATTCTTCCACCTAGCTATCCACCCATTCGGAAACCAATCCCCCGGTGCATTTCCATTCGGCCATTCCTCTCTACCGGGTAGGGCTGCACGGGCCTGCACGACAACACCAAATTTGAGTGGTGATAGTCACACAGCTGTCGAATAGCGAATGCCCCTCATTTTTCATAGCCAAAGGTATCAATTGCTCCCATGCTCCTCCAAAGGCGTATCGATTCCACAATTGAATATCAAACTCCGCGGCATCCGGATATCCGGGTCGTTCGAACACTCGCCGAGAGGGACGACCGGAAGATTTGCTCCTTCATTCAGCCTATATAGAAGACTGTCAGGCGTCCAATCACCTATCGTCCAACGGGCCTCGTCTCTATCCCAGAAGAATGCTGTTTGGCGCTACATTTAACAGCTGTTCCACGAGTAATCATATTTGACTTGAACCATTTGAACATTCCCAGCTTGACCAAAGTGCAAGAGAATCCTCTGTACGCCGTCTGAAGCCTGAATCTGAGTGACCTTCAACCTTCCAAAGCCAGGAGAATCCGATAATTGTCTGGGCAGAGGAAGTTATTCGGGAAGTCCGGGACCGAGTCATCGTTGCTCGCGGCTAGGCAGACTCATGCGAGGGCCATAAACAATGTTGAATTTTAGAAACGACTAAAGGATGCTGTTTTTTGTTCTGCTTCCACAGGCTTGTGGGGATTGATTCGAGTCAACATGGGCGCTAAATACGTGGGTGAGCTCACTGGTCGTCCCAACCCTCCCCCAACTCATTGCCCTTAGACAACGTCATTCGATTTTGGTAAACATCTTAATTCAACGATCGGCTCACCATCGCAGTTCATGGGTACACCCTGCTCGGTCATGAGTCGATGGGCTCGCGAAATAATCGACGGGTCTGCCACCATGAGATCGTCACACTCCTGGATGTCCTGCAGTCATCGGGTGGAACGGCGCTATGATGCATGGCTGATGGGTCTAATCCTAGTTTCTCGGTGGTAGGCAGGCCTGAAAGAGGAAGAGATTTCGAAAATAGCTCAACTTGAAGATCCAGATCGTTCAAAGTCAACAGCGGAAAGTTCGAGTCCAGATTCTTCATAAAAAGCGTCAGCTTATACATAGATGTGCCTCGAGCCGCACTGGAATTCACTGAATCAGTGTTGTTGAAGTGTTTCAGTCCACGCCAACCAACCTTCCGCCGTGAAAACATGTCGTCAAGATTCAAAAGCATGCCGAAAACGATAACAGTATACGCTCTGCATGTGTCATCATGAGAAAGGACTATTTTCCCGAAGATCGATTCATGCAGCATGCCGTGAATTGAATTCGAATTGCCACAGGTCCTCTCGTTTGAATGAATCTCCAAGGCCTCCATGCCAGGCATGGCTTCATTTCCTCACAGCGTTGCTACACAAACCGTCCCAGGCAAACTTGTAGCGGGAAGTGCCCTGGTTTGCCACTCATGCCAACACGGTTCATGTATCGTTGATGTGTGTTCCAAATTGTACCTACTGTCCTCCCTCCAATTACGCGCAGCGTCCGAAGCGGGCCCAACCCAATCTCAGTACACGCTAACTACCCTGATCCCTGTCTGTGTGCTGCATTCTTTGATGTTGGAACAACTTTGACACGCGATGTGCGGCTGACATTGCTCCAAGTTCGGGAACAGCATACTCTCCAGTAAGCTTCCCAAGAACGAGGCAACCAGACAGGTGGGTGGTCCCCATGAGTTGCCGAAGCGCTGCTCAATGGCCATGTGTTGATAGATTTCATATTAAATTGTATGGACATCAGCTCAACTGCATAACAGCGAACGCGTATCCACCAATAATAGCTAGCCCCTTATTTCGTAGCTGAGATCAACTGGCAAGACTACGAAGGGTGAGATCATTCAGAAGCCCCTCTGGAGCATGGACAGCCGTAACAGTGCAAACATTCCACCGAGGGAAGCGTCTCTGGAACCAGACGCGTTGCGGTCTGCTTGGTAGTCAACATGCGCTAGAAGTTCAGCAAGACCATGAGCATACCCAGTGGCTACAGCGGCCTCTGCAGTGACAATAGATTATTCAATTAATATCATCTGCTTGTACAATGATGGCAGTCAGGCTCGAAGCTAGAACCATGTGCAGCATTGCTTCCGCGCTCCTGTTCTTGAACTCTCACATCCCGACTTTTATATTACGGCGGTGCGCATAAGCTCGGCCAACGTTCCCTTAGAGCATCGGGGCCTTGTTCGTCATGCTCCCCATTTACAGGCTTGCTCAGAGTTCTGCTTTTCGCAACGCGCAATCGACTCAAACCGAGAATTATCCCTTCTGGTCGTCTCGTCTTTTGCCACCCACCGCACCGAGTGCTCGTTCTTTGTGAAATTCTTCTGTATGCTGTGTCTTGGTTCTCTCCTGCCGCGTTTCATGGAGGTTGGCATCCCATCCACTTAGGCCTTGCCACGACCTAAGCTCTTACGAGAAATTTCCTTCGCAAGTGTGGAATGATATCAGCGAAAGATACATTCCTGTCTGGGTGGTACGAGAACGCAGGTTTCGAATACGTTGAGCTCCCGCCAACTTCAAATGGCATCATTCAGGATTTCAATGGTAGGTGGAGTGACGATCTACAATTCTCTGAGTGCCATGCTTCATCATGGGCCTCACAGACTCAGACTCTGAAGAGTACACGCGCGCGGTGAAGCATTGTCGTCAACAGACCATGTGAGTCGGAACCGTCATAGATTTGCGAATTACAATAGTATAATCTTATCTCTTCCTATTCAGAAAACAATCATTCGCTATGTACTTGGGTCCGCCTATGGATTTGTCGGAAAAGGCCAACGGGGTAGTATGTATTGAACAATTTCCTGGAAAGCTGTGACCGACATCCAATCTCCGCTTGGAGAGACCCTGCTTCCCACGTTCAAATTGGCTTTGGGCCTCCATTATGACCCGACCGGGTGCGTCGAGACACGCTATCCGTATTCTCTGGCATCGCTGACCGACTTGTCATTAGCAATCACACATCATATTGGTCAGGAACGGTACTCCTTGCGGAGGTGCCTCGCGCATCTTACTGGACGAAAGGAGTATTCCATAGACCAGATAATGACATCGGCCTTCTGCAAGAGACACAGGCGAAGGATGGGTTGTAGAACACATTTTGGAGGTGGAAAGCGGTACCAAGTTGTCATATATCCAACTGGGCTTGAAGACAAATGCCGCGATCTGGACTAGCCCACTACTCCGTTGGCGGTATGGCAGACAACGAGGTAAGTGATAACCTCATCCCATAGTGGCATCTCTGATTTATTGAGGTGCTTTTCCAATTTCAGTGCGAATATCTGCTGGAAAGGTTACTTCCTCTCTGGCTAGTCCGAAAAGCGACTTTTGGACATGTCGTTGTTTACAACCCTTCATAAAAGACCCATAAACTGCGATTTAGATCTCAAATTGTTGAAGGCGCTATCAACAATATGCATTTCCTCTCCGACTCTCGCGACCTCCTCTACGCCCACTGCCAGGGAAGCGGGACGTCCCTACCACTAATTCGAACACCTTACGTGGGCCTCCTCGCGCTCGGCGTGGAGACACTTGGCTCGGGTCTCACACAGACCTGCACCGCTGGGCCGCTGAAGGACTGACGACTTCGTGCTACCTGGTATACGCGAAGGTGGAGAGTGGTTTGAGCACTGAGGCGGTGTAGATGAGGATTGGTGTGAAGATGTGGTTCATGAAGGCAGTAAAGGAGTGGAAGATCAGTGGACGTCCAGGAGTCCTAGTCCCATCGGATGTGAAAGCTACGGTGAGAACTATAGCTCCGGCGCTCACGGATTGCTATATAAGAATTAATGTAGGAATAATTGAGGAGCTAGGTCCTAGCGATATGGGGACCAATTGGCTCACTTGTCGCCACTCGGATCATTCCCCAGGAGATTCTTGGGGGATCGCGAAGTGCGTCACATTCTGTCATACACAGCGATGAAGGGTTTCATAACAGGGAAGATCCAATTGATAGTGAAAATGACAGAGTATTCTTTGTCAAATGGTATTTCCTCGGACTGCCGCTCCTTCGGGTTCTCGACAATGATGATGTATTTGGGTTGCCCACTACCCCTCCTTTTAGGAGGTGAACGGGAACGGAAGAATACCTTCCTTGTGTGAAATTGGGCGATGATGCTCAGTTCGACTTCGTGATGCCTACATAATTTCGTCCATTTAATGTGAGTGGAACCTATTGATATCGCGCGTATTTTAACGATGCTGATGTCATTTTCTGATAAAATTGCGATTCATTCAGGCTCCAAGAGAAACTCAAGAAGAATCGCGCATAATTCCAATTTCGGAACAGTCATCTTCAACTATCGAACCGTTGTTTGCTTTCGCCCCATCCTCATCACCTTTTTACGGACTGTACGGCCATCTCTCTGATCCTGTCCGGGTCTTCATTTCCGGCGATTATTCTGGGTACGCAAATCTCGTTGAGTGAGAATTTACTCAATGCTCGAACGGTCATGGAAGCAAAGTTGCCAAAGAAGGTTGATAGATGGTGTGCTGAGGCGCAGCGACCAATTACGGAGCCCAATTCAATGATCCCGATGTTCGCAATGGTACTGTGACATCATACATTTGCGGCGCTTCCCCGATGGTCGTTATGTAGCCCTCGGTTTTTGGTAACGGTATCACCAAGCTTACCGACATCGACTGAGTCAGCGCACCATTTCCCATTTCCAGCTCGATCCACCCAAGTTTCCTGCCCCTTTGAATTTGCTCATGGCAACAACTGTCGTTACCGAGGAAAATGAGGAAAACGCCAGTCCTTGGCCATCGTCGGACCCCCGTAAATCTTGGTATCAATGGCCCCTTCCCTACGTGTACTCGTACTTTAGTGTCGGGTAATGGATCATTTGCCTTACGAGCTCCACCGAAGATTGACAGGCCTACGACAACATAACGCTTACATCAGCTTCAGACGACCCCCTCCTTTCCCCTCCTTCCAACCCTTTCATTCCGCTCAAATCCCTCGCCAGCCACCCCCCACCGCCTCATGTTTGGGTTTTCTCCCGGTTTACAGAGTTGGTTGCGCACCATCGTGTTGCGAATTTCAGTTCTGGGATTCATCACCGTCTCCACCCCTTGCTCGTATCTCATATATTCCTGATTCCGTGTCCACCCGACTCACTCCCTTGGCTGAAGATAGACAACCATCATTCCGAAGTGGACGCAGTGCATGACCTCGATGGGTCCTAGATCAAGCATGCATGAAGACCTCGGCATCTATTCATCTATTGCCGGAAGAATCTGCAGAAGAGAATTCCCTCGCCCGCGGTGATCTTGGGATGCGTGGCGACAAGCGTCTGAGAGCTTGGTATGGTGATCGAGCGCTGTTTGTGTCTACCGCCTTCCATCCAGCGAGGATGGGACTAAGGCCGGCTGACGGCTCCGTTCGTCGTCGACGTTAGTTAAGTCGCCTAGAGTGTCCGCGGTCGTTGTCGCCCTTAGCCATGGTACGGTCCCCGTGAGTCTTGGTACTCTCCCCAACGGCCCCTTTCCTGCTGGAAAACTGATGTCAGAGGTCTTGGTGCGACAACATGACGCTCATGTCGACGACCCGCACGTTCAGCCCCACCCCTCTCCATCCTTCTACTCTAATTCTTTGCTAGTCATTCCTCGTCGCGTGCTTGGGTTTCCTCCCGGAGCAATTTTGGCACTTTCGATGGAGTCAGCGCTTTCACTTAGTCGACCGAGTCGGGCAAGTTCACTGCACGTTACAGCGTTACGAATGCCAGTTCTTTGGGTTATGAATCTCACAATCCTCACCACTTGCTCATATCTTATCCCTGGTCCCGTATCCCCTGGCTCAATCTTCCCTGGTAATGCAGCAGACAAGCACCTTTCCGGATCGGATACACGACTCCAATGCGTCCCATTTTACGGCCTCCCGCCAAGTACGCACACCTCGACGTCTATTCTTCTGTTGCAGGGAGAACCCCACTGCTCTGGATGGGGAACATAAGCGAGGGGACTGTCTCCATGCAATACTCGCCGGTTATCTTCAGGGTGGGTCACATCAACCATGATTTAATGCTACGAATCATATTTCTGTCACCTCCGGTCCAGCAAGGATGGAATTGAACTTCTGCCCCAAGGCCGGATCACAGCTCCAATTGTCGTCGAAATTAGCAAGTCGTTTAGGACGTTCGCGGTCGTTGCAATCCCTCCCTTTCCACTTGTCAGTCACCTAACTCGAGCGTTTTTCTGTCATTGCATTATGTATTATCCTCCGATTTGTACATCACTGCGCTTGACATTAATGATAGCGAGTTAGTAGTGAACGCTGGTGAAAGGGAACAACATCTTCTAGCTCTGAAGTCGAATGGCGACGGCACCACCCCGAACAAGGACCTGGACGCAATGGCATAGCTCGCACTTATTCACATCAAGATTTCCTTGTATCCTGACTCATGGAATCCCCATCCGACATCCACCTATCTTTAGGACTGATGCTGCGAGTACGAGGAACCGCATTCCGAACAGCTTGTCTTCGTCCGGCATGAAGATCAGTACTTGAAATCTTAACTAGCAGGCCGTTCATCGTTATCATCCCGTTTATTCGACCCTCTGTAAGGCCAAATACATTTCACCTTGCCGGCTATGTTCGATGCTCAGGATAGATTCAGACAGTAATCGAAAGTGTTCAAACTTCTTCCCCACCGGGCTGGAAGCAGAGTGGGTTGGCGGAAAGAAGAGGTGACAAATCACCTTTTGAACATTGCGGGGCGCTTTCAAGTTGGCTCTGAGGAAGAAGCGGGAGAACTAGTGACAGGAAGGCATGGACGGACGTCCAGCGTGTTAAAGAGTAACAACCCGATGAAACTATGTTGGCGTGTCACGCGGAGTCCGATCGAGATATCCCGTACGGATGGGGCTTCGTCATCACTCGAAGTATTAAATAACATCTACCACCCACCCATTCTCAAGGAGGGGAGACTGGGTGTTCCATGTTTTTAGAACGACAGCGAAATAGAATACCCCCGTTACTTGGATACCCGGAGGTGCGAGGTCGCCGATTAGAGTTAGAAGCGGACATTACAGAGAGAAATCCGACATTGAAGCGCAAGATTGAGATATTTTTGCGCATCAGTGCCAGTAACCCGACAAAATAGTAGATGCCTGGTAAGTGATTGCTGCTGAAATTTCGTCCAAGTTTGTGTCGGCGTCACACAAAGACATCCAGTCCACCATCAATAGCTTGGATCCTTATACAAGGAGCGAGGAAGCCATTTAAAGCAGTTCTCGTACGACTCGGGGCGTTGGAATCAAAGCAACCAGGTTGAAGCATATTGCTGAAGAGCGAATAACCGAGAGGTGGACACCAGACGAGACTCTGATGTTCACTAAATATTGACCCGTTTGACCACCTTCATCCCCGTGAGAACCAATTCAATCGTGGCGTATGCATGTCCCCGAAACGGGCTCTCGGCCAAAGCCGGGCCAGCCGTTTCATTCACAAACCGTGAACGTCGTTGTAGGTAAGGCACGTCGATTGACGTCCTCAACATCAGGATAACCATACGTTGCACTACAGACCCGTCCTCTATTCCTTGGGTGTTCTACTTCCTATTTATTGCCATAAGTGGCATATTCGGTAAGCTCGAAATCCATCGTTGGCATCATTCCCAGCCCTGCACCTAACAGAATGCACTACGTCCGCCTCCAATCTCGTTATAGATATCATTAAAAAGGACCACTCTTTGTATTTAACTGAAATCCACTGGAGGCGCTTAGCATGTTGCTAGTGCACCATGGTTAACGACAGGGATCCCCCCAATCAACCCAGCCCTCTGAATACACCATCTACATAGAGTAATGGTTTCTCCAGGCCATTCTGTATATTCTGTGCAAGGATTTGGGGCTTGTCCGTGGAGACACCTGCAGAGGGCCAGAGGTTGCACCTAGCACCGCTGGTACTTGCAGTTGTTTGGTTCGTCTGGGCCACCCGCCGCAAAAACCGATCCCCCACTCCGATTCCATGCCATACATCGACAGCTATACACCTTCCTAGGCCCCCATCAAAATCTTTTACCCAAACGGTTGCACCAACATGCAATTCCCCTCCCTGCTTGCTTGCACACCGACCCTCAGATCTCGCTGTCTGCACTCATACACCCTAAAACGCTCTGTGTGTCATCTTTTGTTATCGAACGGGTGCAAAAGATCTCAGCGAGCAGAACCATTGGGTGTTTGCCACAATCCTCTACACCCTCGTATTACACGCTATCCCCTTGTCCAATCTGTATCAGTGGGACCATATTCATATTCGCTGTCCACTGTCCAGTCGTATCATACACACACCTTCCTAGGCCCCCATCAGAACATCTTACCCAAATGGTGTATTGCATTACGCACCGACACACGATTCCCCTCCCTGCTTGCTTGCACACTGACCCTCAGATCTTGCTGTCTGCGCTCATACATCCCTAAAACAGCGACAAATGCTCTGTGCGTCGTCTTCTGTCATCGAACGGGCGTCAAATGGGTGCAAAAGATCTCAGAATTGTTGAGTCCGCCACAATCCTCTACACCATGCGCTATCCTCTTGTCCAATCCGTATCAGTGGACTGTATTCATATTCGCTATCTGCTGTCCAGCAATCACACACCCCTGGTACTCACAGTTGTTTGGTTTGTCTGGGCCACCCGCTGCAAAAGCACTCCGATTTTGTGTCATACATACACCTTCCTAGGCCCCCATCAAATCATCTTACCCAAACAGTGTATTGCATTATGCACTGACATGCAATTCCCCTCCCTGCTTGCTTGTGCACTGACCCTCAGATCTTGCTGTCTGCGCTCATACATCCCTAAAACGGCGACAAACGCTGTGTGCATCGTCTTTTGTCATCGAACGGGCATCAAACGGGTGCAAAAGATCTCAGAATTGTTGGGTGTTCGCCACGATCCTCTACACTCTCATATCGTGCACTATCCTCTTGTCCAATCCATATCAGTGGGACCGTATTCATATCTGCTGTCCAGCAACCACGCACCCCTCAATCGGCGCCAAAGTGACATCAGAAATGGTACAGTTGGGCTGGGACTTCAACCTGATGTGTGCCCTCGCCACTGCCTGCTGCTGAATATCCAATACCCAAAGACCTTTATAAGACCAGTGCCCATGCTATACATATATTCCTCAGTGCCGAGCGAGCACCAGTAATCGCCCTTCTTCGCCGCAAATCGCCCCGTTTGGTGTCCGTTCCTATTGGTATGTACTACAGCTACACACATGAATATGCAGCTGAGTGCATGTCTCTCTTACAGGTTGGCTGCTGGCGTAACTCGGCTGATATACCCACACTTGTTGGGGGAGACCTATCCCATTCTGCTCCTTTGACCCAAACCCATTAGTTTCTTTAGCAGCTACTCCCATGCCGAGGCATAAGCCTGTAATTCCACCCCTTACTACTTCGCCTGTGAAAAAATATCAGCCATATAATTTAAAAAGACCTAAAAAATATGCCGATTTCCTTGGCCCCCAATCCGCACCTGAATCCGAACCCTCAACGTCCAAAAAGAAGGACATAAGCACGTCCCAGCCACTGAAGTCCCTATTTCCCAGCTGTCACAATGCATTGAGATAGCAAACGCCAGCGGCACCATGATGATGCAATGCTGGGGGCCTGGCATTGAGCCTACGCATTGGTGGCAGGTGCCAAATCGCCATGATCACATAGGAAATGCAATGTCAGTGGATGCCAGCAATGTTTCGACTCCCCCTTCAATGCCAGCTCTAAAAAAGGAATCACCAATATGGGAAGCATCCCCTCAGGGTTGGCTGGAAAATATTGCAGAGCCCACTCCTTCGGGCCCAGACACTGCTCTGTCCCCTACACTGTTGTGGTCAGCTTCCCGAAAGCGGGCCAAGAGAGCATTACGAAATCTGCAAAAGCAAGTTGCATGGCTCCATTGGCGCCGCAATGTAATACACAAAGCGGCAGAAATCTATCTAGGTCTAGAGGCGAAGAAGGCAGGATGCATGCCCCTTGCTGCCCCCAGTGAGACATCATATGATAGAAACGGAAAACTGCAAACACCAGCAGCATCGCTGTGCTCCCACTGCAATACATCTTTCCAGTTTCATTCACTCATGACGATCGCATTCTCAGGTACGTTTGCATTCTGACCTCCCTTAGCAGTGTCCCAATGACCCCGAGCCAGGTGCCACGTGGTGGACGTTCGAATATTGCAAATGTCTGTCCAATACTCTCCCACTTAGCATCATCCAGTCTGGCTACTTTCCAGGGTCACCTGTAATGCCCCAAGTTGCCTTTCATTTCGACGTCCTTTCGCTGTATTCAGCTTTGCATGTGGTCTCGTACACCCCAATTGCCTCCTTTCATGCCGCTTTGTTTGCCATGTTACGAGAGAACAGTTACGAATTCACCCACAATGTAAGATCTATTTGTTGCATGTCGGGAATTGGCACCTTCATGATCCGGCGCGCATATAGGACCCCTTTCTGCAGTTGTTTAGCGAGGTGATAACATGGTTTCAAGCCCTACGTGACTCGGTAGAGGTTGAAACAGAGAGAGAGTTTCTCCTACCCACATCCCCTGCGGCACCCGATGCACCGCTATGTCGTTCCGCACTGGTCGAGTCTGCTGCGTTTACCCATGTCGCTCCTGCCCACAATGGCGATCCATCGGTCACTGCACCCCATGGTGTGATGACTGTTAACCACAGCATCCCAACCTCCATAGGGACGTCACCGGACCTTCCATTGATGGTCCATGAGCGAACAAAGCTGATTTGCAACCTGTCCAACAGCAGCGCAAGTCCATACCTCCATGCGAGATGCCTGCAATGTTTTGGAGGCTCGATGTGGGGCAATTCAGCCAACGAGTTAGTCCTCTCATACATATGCTTCGGGAACAGGTATACTAAGCGATTCCCTAGATATCCTGATGTCATCGTCGCCATGGATGGTAATTGTCAGGGCACATACCCTGACTTAGCCCGGACCCGGACCTGTGTCCGGACCCGCTCCACTCCCCACGCACTTCCTGCGCCGCACGCTCTGCACGCCGCACGATCCGACCCCGGATCCCACCTCATGTGACTTCCGGGTATCCCCGGAAGTTTTCGCCATATTGGGCCACTGTGGGAAAGTGAGAAGTTAACCTTCTTCTCACTTTCTTACCCACAGTAGGCAAGTGTTACCTTGCTTCCAAGGTCACTTGCATGGTCACAATTCATGAGAATTCTGACCCTGATTTTGTGGGAATTCTGACATTTTGATCACATGCCCCAATATTATTTCACACACAATAAATTTGGTCATTTCCGCTCTATAGCTCGCTTGAACAATTGAATTTGGCCAACTCAAGAAAAACTAGAGTGCTTGCGCTTTGCACTTTGCTTGACTCTGCACAGCCCTTACTTCCTTTTGCCTGTCCCAGCATGAATTTTTTTTTCAGTTTGTTTCGTGAATATCCTTAGGCTATAAAAATATGGAATGCAGACATCCAACAAACACAATGCAATTTTTCCAGTCATTTGGAGTCTGGAATTATTTAGAGGCAAAGTGAAAAAGAAGGTGGTATGGCAACAAATCACAGTGGAACCAGCATACACCTTCACAGGCTACCGTGCGCAAGGACAGACAATGGAATACCTGTGGTCAGACACAGGAACATCACCAAGCACATTGACACCTTTTAATGCATGCATGACATTGTCGTGTGCAAGAGGAAGAAAAAGCATATGATTAAACTGAGACTTTAAGGACAAGAGCTGAGTGTCAGGGCACACACCCTGACTAGCCTGGACCCGGACCCGCTGTTAGACACTGGTCCGGGGTCGGCACCGAGGGTCGCTGTTGCAGGCCGCTATAGGCTGCGATGACCGTGATGCCATGAACAAGGCCCGAGGGTAGGGCATTCGGCCTCAGCAACTCTAAAGGGAGTGCTGTGCCCCCTAGCTGTCTCTTGGCCCTCATTTCAGACTCACTGGGGTTGCCTTGCTGGGGTCAGGACTTAGGGGTTGTGTGTCAGGGACAGCTCCGAAAGCGGCGAGGTCCTGGGGTGTGGGACTTGGGGGGATGGATAGCGGCTATGGATAGCGGCGATCCCATCGCAGGGTGAGTGTCCCCGACCACTTAGTCTGAAGTGGAAATGTGAGTTATCATTAAAAGGGAAGGCTACACTACTTGCCTGAAGTGGAAATGTGAGAAGAAGGCTACTTCTTTGGTTCCCACTCCAGGTGTTATTATATACATGCGGGAATGGTCACGTGGGGTGCGCCACGTCACCCTTGCACACAGCCATGGCTCTCTGGGTGCTTCCGTGGAAGATCCCGAGAGGGCCCACTGTGGGTGCAAGGTGAGTGCGGCGGCGGTGGCGGCGGTATAGGGATGTAAGATACAGGAGGGGAGATGGGTGTGTGCGCCGGTGATACATTGAGCAGGGGGAAAGGTGGTCCATGTAAGAGAAAGAGAGAAAGAAAGAAAGGAGGAAAGGAGAACAGGAGAAAGGAAGAGGGAAAGGAGGGAGAGGCGGTGCGGAGTGGGGAAGCGGAGCGGGGATCGGGTGGGGCATGTCGGGGCATGCCCTGACATTGTGGTCACATCGATATTAGAGCTAAGGTACAATAAAGTATCATACAGGATATATATAGGAGGAAGAAATGAATGGAAGCGGACCCGGGCCGGAGGCCGAAGGGTCCGGAAGCAAACAAGAATAAGGAGCGGGGTTGGCCGCATAGTGGCCGGCAATGACCGAAGGTCAAAACAAACAATAACAGATAAATAAAGGAAAGAGCATAGGGCCATGATAGCGGCGATGGTATCGTAGTGGCGCTGGACTTGGAGTTGGGCTGGAGTCGGGTGCGGGGATGATAGCGGCCCTGTAGGGGCCAAGTGGGCGGGGTAGGGGAGTTGTGCTGGGCACGGTGCCGGAGGCGGACTCAGGGTGGGGAGGTTGGTGCAGCAGTGGGGGAGTCGGCCAAGTGTAGGGGAGCCTAGGGGCAAGTGGGGAAGTGAGCAGGGAGTCCTCAGGGAGGATAGGGCTGAGGTCGGGGCTCACGCTCACGCTCGCATAGCGGGGATGGGCTTGGGCGGCATCAGGACAGGTGGGGAACGGGCCGGAATGCACGGCCGTGACACCCGCGTCCGGACCCGCTACACTTCCCGTGTGCATTCCCACACCACATGCTCCGTGCGCCGCATGGTCCAGCCCCGGACCCTGCCTTCATGTGACTTCTGGGTATCCCCGGAAGTTTTCCTGATATGGTGGCCACTGTGGGAAGATGAGAAGTTAGCTTCCTTCTCATCTCCTTACCCACAGTAGATTGTGCCCTGGATAGGGCTGGCCAGACCTGAGGCTGTGGGCCATAGGGGGGGGTCATGGGGACCTGGGAGTCGTCCCCTGACACTGAGTGGGAGTGGAAATGGTGGAAGGAAAGTAAAGGGAGAGAAGGGACAGGTGAGATGAGGTAAAAGAAAGCATGTAAAGAAAAGGAAACAACCCAAAAGGGAAGATGATGACAAATTACCACTGCAGATGGCCCAAGCATCAATTCTCTTCATAGATGTAGCATAAGTACACATGAAATGGTGTCCGAAAATACAGCAGTTGTGCAGCCTGCCACCCTCCCCTCCAACCTGGGGTTCGGCAATGGCTGAATCAACACCCCTTGAATCAGGAACCAAATGCCAAACCACATCATCTTGAGCTTGTGAGCCTAGCAGTGTTCATGTGATTGGATAGCAAGGTCATGGCTGTGAAGCAGCCTTTCTAGTATCTTACTTGCCTTTTATCTTATACACTTTCTTACCCACAGTAGTGTTATGCCCTGAGATGGGCTGCTGTTACAGGTTAGCCTGTGGGCCATAGAGAGGGGTCATGGGGACCCAGGGTCCGTCCCCTGACAGCAATATGCAACATAAGCAATACATGTTTGTTGGAGGAGAGATGATTCTTCCCTGGAATGAAACTTGCACATTCCTCACCGATGCCGAAATCGAGGAAGCTGCCTGCCATATCTCTGATGCACGAGCTGCATCTAGAGGCTGTTCGGAAGTATCTCATCCCTCATCCCTTGTACCAGATGGTGCTATTGATGAATGTGAAGAATCACACAGAGCCACGAAATGTGGAAAGCAGTCAGCCTCAAAAATGGATACCTTCCATTCAAAGGGCCTGATGGCAACCATATGCCATCATGACATCCCCCTTTTCCTCTGCGATGTATGCACTCCAGGTGAACAGCAGCACTTTTCGATTGCCATGCTCCTTGCACTTAGCTGCCAACTACCCTCAAATGCCACTATTGGATTAATGTATGATGTTGGGTGTGTTCTTGATTGATTGATCGCCAAGGTATGGCCTCGCATGGTCTGCAACTACAACCTCTGATATTTGAACAAAGTACAATCTTATCCCCAAAATCGCTCCTAGATTGAGCATCGCCGTTTCAGTCTTCCATGCCTACACACATCAATTCTGTTGTCAAATCGCATTTCACCCCTGGAAACGAAATGGGTTCGGAAAGTCAAACGGGGAAGGAAATGAGCGATTATGGTCCTTGATTGTTGATACAATTGTGCCTGAACGCATAATGAGTGTGAGTCCCAACACTGTTTGGTTGACAACCCTCTCTTATGCGATGTTGTCCCAAAACTATAGCCAGCAAAACAAATCACAACTATCAACAACAAAATCAAGATGATCGTGTGCCGTGGCCGAGACCGCCTTGCTTCATTGGCTAGGTCCAAATTGGCTACCATTGTTTGTGAGGAGGTGCTTCTAACTGACCTCCTGCAAGATTTGAAGAGTAAGAGGGGATTCACAACTCCTTTCCTTCAATCCCAGTGGGAAGAGCAAAAGTCTTTGCAGCTCTCCGTTCAAGCCTGTATGCCCATTCCCATGTTCAGTGTTGACTTATGCTGTTATGCCCTAGACAATGATCAAGCCGGAATGAAAAAGTTCGCCAAACTTTTGGAAGCCAAACGATCAGCCCAGGCACATTTGGATGCATTGGACGCTGTAAAGAAGGAGCTGGACCGAATCAGCTTGGCACGAACACTGTCCCATATTCCTATCGACCTCACGGAGCATTTCCAAGCCACTCAGCGTGTATGATTGTTGCATGATAAATCTCAAGAATGCCTATGCGATCTGACAGCTCAAATTGGCCTGTCTGATTTGAAACTTCCGCAAAATCCGTCTAGCACAGAAAGGGACTACATGGACATGTGTCAGAGACCAGATTTAAGACGAAGGAATGTCTCCGTAACGGAGGGCTTTGGCCTCAGCGACTTCTGCCAGGAGCGCTGTGCCTAGTGACACGTCCGTGCCCTAACTTACTGACTGGCACTTAGAACCTAGTGGGGGTAACTCTAGTTGATTTATCCGCTGGGGCGTAACCTATGTACAAGTAGTGTATATATATGGTTACAGCGGAGACGGTTCCGCAATTGGCGGAGCCGGACGGAGCGGAGCTAACGGGGTTTAAGACATTAGCCGACTGAATATTACTGACGAGTCGGTTCGCGGGGTTAGCGGAAAGGCAGGCGTTAACCCAGAAACGGAAAGGAGGGATAGGCCCGAAGGTGGACTCTGCAGGGCAGGCGAGTGTATTGCCCAGCGGAGGCGGGAGTGCGCTAGCGGACGTCGGAGCTGTCTGGAAGTCTTCGGGGCTCCGTACTTAGGGAGGCATAGGTAATAAATTGAAATGAGGGGGTGGTGACCATCGAGGGGTACCGAGAGGTTTGCGGAATACGGGGGCTCCGAGGTTGGTGAGGGGGGAGCGGAGTTAGAACGGAGGGGTCGGAGAGCCCGGAAGTCGATGGCTGGGAATGGATATGACAACATGGAGAAGTACATTCTGGCCCGATTCTGCAAACATGCCATCCTTATCCACTAAGCCAAGTACCAGGATGAGATTAACCCTATTCAGAGCTCACAACAGCATGGAGGATGGCCGGTTACAAAAGTCGGTAAGCATACCCCATTTGAGGCGAATTCTGATGTGCTTGAAAATTCATCCGGTACTTTGAGGATATTTGAAAATGGTCTCAGTGTTCAATAGCGCAAACGACCATGCCCATATTATTTCCACCCATGTTGTGCAATATAACGAGCTTGTCAACTGCCTCGAGCATTCTGTTAGGCCATCCTGGCTCCCAGACTCTTTGAAACATGCCAAAATGAATGTCAAGGAGCTGCTTAACATGGATCCCAGTGATGAACAGTAGACAAAGATGTGGGAGAGCCTGTGGGATTCTGTCAGGGATGGCTCGAGGAAGGCAGAGGTAGCGGCGTAACGCTCGGCGCTAGCAGCCCGGATGGCAGCGGGGTGGTGAGACTGTATAGTGGACAGCCCTTACTCAGGCTTACGTCCCTGTGTGGCTTCTTAGGCTGAAGCGGGAAATGTATTGTTATTAGGGTGGGAAGCCAGACTAAACTAGGGTACTTGCCTGAAGTGGGAAATGAGAAGAAGGTTACTTCTTCGGTCCTGCTTCGGCTTAGTTTATATACATGTGTGAATGGGTCATGTGGGGTTGCCACGTCACCCTCGGACGAAGCCGGGTTACCGCAGGTGGTTCTGCAGTTGATCCCGAGTGTTGGAGGGGAAGTACAAGTAGAAGTGTGCAGTGCATCCGGCGTTGCGGTGCCCCTACAGGGTGCTCAGCATCGGACGCATCCATGCTACAAGGGTAGGAAAGAAAGAGAGGTCATCTGTATAAAGATAGAAAAAGAGAAGAAGGAAAGAAGAGAGAATGAGAGGATGAGACAAAAGGAAAAGGAGGTGGCGGTGGCGGCGGCGGCGGCAGCGTGCCCTGACAGATTCCAACTGGAACTTGGATGAGAAACCACCAGCTTTTATCGTCAACCAACAGGTTTGCCATGGCATAGTAGCAGTGCTATCGCTTGCTTGTATTGAGGAGGAAAAGCTTAGGCTCACTTGAGAGGAACTTGTCAGGGGACGACTCCCGGGTCCCCATGACCCTCCCCTATGGTCCACAGCCTCTGGTCTGGCCAGCCCTATCCAGGGCACAATCCTACTGTGGGTAAGGAGATGAGATAAAACAAGGGCAAGTATATACACTTGCCTACTGTGGGTAAGGAGATGAGAAGGAAGCTAACTTCTCATCTTCCCACAGTGGCCACAATATCAGCAAAACTTCCGGGGATACCCGGAAGTCACATGAAGGGGTAGAAACCGGGTCCGGAGCATGCGGCGTGCGGAGTGTGCGTGCATGTGGGAAGCGCAGCGGGTGGAAGCGGGTCCGGACACGGGTCCGGGTCCAGGCTAGTCAGGGTGTGTGCCCTGACAGAACTTAACACATGCACCTGGATTGTCCAATCGGTAGACTTGTTGATTCGGATCATGGACGATATTCATTGTATGTCCTACAAATTCCACATTACCAATGCGCTGATTTGTCCTCGATCCCAGCCCGGTTTAAATATCAATGGCAACTCCACCTAAAGTCGTCACTCAAATGCCATGATACGATTGTGAATGGACCGTTTCCTCATGTCAATCTATGGCATGCATCACTGCACTATCTGTTAGCAAACTTAGAATGTCCAGACTCCCAAGCTGCACTGAGTACTGCGGAGTATTCTTCTTTCCGCCTTCCCCCCCCTGGTTCTGCCACTCTGGCCTCAGGAACCAATGGCATAGACCCCAAAGATGATTCTCAAGTTAGAAACGAGCTAAGCACACTCGATGGACTTATCAGGATGAGCCCAGAGCTGGGTGTAGCTGATGACAATGAGCATGTTGAGCGCTACCTGTCTACCAACAGTGGCAGTGGCCCAGGTGATACTCTTGGCCCTGAGATGCCAGTAAACCTTCCAGATAGTGAACCTGAGACATGGCCAGATGAGACAATGTGTCAGGGTTCAGCACCCTGCCTTAGGGTGCCCCAGACTCCCCACCTACTTTACCCCCTTTTTATTCTTTGACTGTTGCCTTGTTGTTGCCTTTGTGTGTTGTGTACATGTGCGCACAGGATAGCGTGGGAACTTTCTGAGCGAGCAGCTCGCCCAGAATGTTCCCACGGGTCACAGCCACAGTTCTGGGCGAGCAACTCGCCCAGAACGTTCCCACGCTTACTGGGCACTGCCACCTGGATGTTCCCTCCGGGTCACACTACACAACTCTAGGAGCTGTATAGTTGTGGGCATGTGACCCATTCCTTTATATAGCAACCATGCGGGGAGATGAGACCTTTACCCTTCTTCTCATCTCATGCCCTGCATAGGCAAGTGTATATTATCTTTCCTTTTACTATACATCTCATGCCCTGCATAGTGTGAGGACAGGCCAGATGGGGGTTGAGGTCAGGGAGCCTCCGAGTCCGAGGCCGGGCCCTGACACAATGGACCCCACAGACAATGTCGAAACACATGCTGAGCCTCTTACTGACTTGGTCCCTCCTAGTGGGTTTGGAGATGTGGATAGTCCCAGCTGTGACGAGGATATTGAGGAGAGGTTCTGGAATGAGAACCCTTGTCCCAAAAGCCTTCCTCCAATTAGAACAATCTTTGATGCCATCCACTCACGCACCCAGTCTACCCAACAAAAAAAGCCAACAAAAATCTGGAAGGAAATAACGGAGTTGCATTTACCTCAAGAGACTGAAAAAGTAAGAATGTTTCCAAGTTCCCCTGTGACTGATGCCACTGATGTCTCATTAGATAGTGAACGACAGCAAGACCAGAGACAAAGCAAGATATTACAAACATATTGCGATCTTCCCTGATGCACTACCAACAGTCAATTGCCGGCAGCTGATACATGGAGCAATAATCGATGCCTATGTTGAGATGCTGAAAGTGTCATATCTGTGCATACCCGATCCCAAACCGACTCCCGGACCTCCACCTTCACCACCTCCAGAGTCCTACCCTACTGCTGTCCATTCCGATATTCACCTTCGGTCCCGACACCACACCTCCTCTCACCCCCCATGCCACCTCCACTCCTCTGTCCCTCTCCTGTCCTATCTCTGTCCGCTCCGATACTCACCTTGGACCGAACACCACTCCTCTCACCACCCTCTTCCTTCATCCTCCTACTCTTCTCCCATCCGCTCTGATACTCACCTTCGGACCAGACAACTCTCCTTTCCACCACTCCTTTCCACTTCCCACTTCCCTCTCTCTTCCCTCTGGTCCTCTTCCACTGACCTCCTGCCAAGTTACGACCTTCCACTGCTGTCCCATACCTCGTACTCGGGCACTGCTCGTACCTTTGCTCTGAGACTCTGTCATAGCTCCTACCTCGGACTTTGACTCTGCCTTGGTGTGAGGTCTTAGGGTTGCTCAGCACACAAGGCTGTAAGTGATACAAGATAGTGTATTTTACGGTGGTGTGTAAGCGGTTACCCGGAGGTTCCCGCTTGCCCACGTGACTATGTGTATCTAATTTACACATGACTTGGGGTTCAGGGCTATTGCCCTGACATTCTCCCCCCTTGCGTTGCATTTGCGATGCATACAAGGTTGATAGTAAATGAAACAGAGTTTTAATAGTTGATTTACATTGAGTTTGGAATTATCAATGAGTGTTTTTTGTTGTCGCCACTTTAGTGGGCGATTTTGTACATGTCAGTGAAAGGAAGGGAGGGGGTTTAAGGAATGAATGAGTGTGGGCCGTTACTTTGAAGTGAACGGCGATACATTGGTATCGCAGGGAGAGAAGAAGAAAGAAAAGGAAAAAAAAGGTGGAGTTTGTCGAAAATGAATTTCGACCCAAAGGTTGTATGTCTTTGGTGTTCCTCACTTGTTCTGTGAGGGTTCGTGTGTAAGTGGTGTTTACACACGAGCGGTGGTGGATGTGGGTCTTTTGACGGAGTGGAGATTTCCGCAATTGTTACTTGCAGTTCCTCGCATACAGTATTGTGTGCAGGGCCTCGAGTTCGGGGAAGGTGTTTTCATGGGCGCCTCGATGGCGTATTACCGTGTCACTTTCCCTTCTCTCAAGGGTGGATTCATTGCCCCGGAGGAGGGTTTTCCTCTGGGTTGTTCATCTGGACATCCGATTGCTGCGTCGGATGTGTTAGAGATGGGCGGAAACGGACGACTCCGGAGTGGAATCGGAGACTTAGCGTGGAGGGACCTTGGCCTCAGCGACTCAAGCGGAGCGCTGTGCCATTGCTGTTTGTCCATTTGGTCCTTAATTTCACAGTAGGTGAGCAGGAAGTCTCTTAGGGGCATTTCAGGTCGATTTCGGACTGAAACCAGACGAGTATGTACAAGCGCCGATATATAAGGAAGGGGCAAAAGCACAAGGAGAAACAAAGGGTGACCGAATCGGAACGAAGACGTCCGAACGGGAACAAAGGGTTAGAGGGAGCGGAGTGGTACCGAAGGTCATAGGGCAAGACCTGTGATACATCCGAAAGGAGGTAGAGTGGGCGAGGCCCAGAGGGGCAGGAGGATGAGGGGAAGTGGGGGTGATGACTAACTGGCTAGAATAGAAGGAAGCAGTAGTCCAAATAGGGATGAGGGGGAATTGCGAGAAATACATTACAAATGGCAAGAGTGCCGGAGGCGGTCCGCGAAGCTCGGGGGTTGCGGAGCTTACGGAGGTTACGGAGGCGGGGTTGGAAGTCCAAGGAATATTGGCAATGGTGTTTACGTAGTATGAGGTCACCAATGCAATGGACTAAGACCGAGGTGGAGTCAAAGTCCGAGGTATGGACTATGACGGAGGCTCGGAGTAAGGTACGAACGGTGTCCGAGTGTGAAGTACGGAACAGCGGTGGATGGTCGTAACTTGGCGGAAGGGTGGCGGAGGAGTGACGGAGGAAGGAGAGAGGGGACAGGTAAGGAAGAGTAGTCAGGTCCGAAGGTGGATATCGGAACGGACGGAGAAAGCGTAGGGGATGACGGGAGGGTGGAGGTGTGGTGAGGGGGGGGCGGAGTTGTAGGAAGGGTGGCGAGTAGGGCGATGTTCGGTCCGAGATGAGTATTGGAACGGATGGAGAAGGGGTCGGAGAGGTAAGAGGAGGGGTGTGTTGCCAAGACCGAAGGTGAGTATCGGAAAGGCAGCGGTAGGTTATGACTCCGGAGGTGAAGAGGGTGGAGGTCCGGAAGTCGGGTCGGGGTCGGGTATGCACGGATATGACAGGATGCGATGATGTAGCCTGGGCTACATTGTCGGGCTGTGGGCTCGACGAAGTGGGTGCTCCCTGGGTGGGAGCGGGTTGTTGTGTTCCTGAGCTGCTTGGCTCAGGTGTAGAGTACGGTAGGTCTACCGTTCTTCCTGTGGGGAAGGATGGTTGTTGGGCTGGTTGTCCAGCACGGAGACTTGCGTCTCTTTCCCGGTATTTGGAAGCTTTCGCTTCCCGTTCCGCAGTTCTTGCGGAGTCCTGAGTGGTTTGAACTGGGACTTTAAGTAGGCGGCTTTGCCTAGACTTTCCCAGGAGATTTTCCCCTTATTCTCTGGGGAATTATATTCCTCCACAAGTCTTGCAATACTCGGGAGTCCCAAGAAGTATTTCTCGGTTTCCTTCGCTTTTTCGCGAAGGGTTCTATGTACCTTGCCGCTTTTGAAGGCGGCTTCGGCCTGTTCATACCAGTGTACGAATTCTTTCCCACTCACACTTGTCCACCAAGCGTATGCGGCATCATGTGCCGCTTCTGACCCCACTATTCTCCTCATGGGGAAGTTGGGGTCGATTGTTATGTCGACTGGAGCTTCGACTTTGCCGAACTCGTTGAGTTCGGCGGTCTCGTATAGCATGTGGACACTTCCCTGCAGGGTAGCTTGCCCATAGGGTGCTGAGGTACTCAGCGGCCCGCCGCCTCTGGCAGTGGTCCCCGTTTTAGGGTCTGCCGTCGGTTGCCTGCCGCTCTCCCTCTTCCCCTCGACATGGGTTTGCCCCTCTGAGGGCGGGCCCTTATGCAACCCGGACAGGGTCGCCTGCCCACGGGGTGGTGGGATAGTCGGTGCCCCACCCCTTGATGCGCTAGTCCCCATGTGGGGTCGCACCTCATGAGGCCCGGAACCGTATCCCCTCCCCCTGACCTGGGAGGCCTGTCAGGGCACACCCGCTTGACCTGCCTCCACCCAGGCCCACCTCACCCGGTTCCCCTTCTCCCACCCCGCACCCCTCCTTCATACCCCTTCCCCCTCTATCCCTCTCCTATTTCCATTTCCATTTCCATTTCTATTTCTATTTCTATTTCTACTTCACATGGACGACCTTTCCTTATATCCATGTATTATTGACCCACCCACGATGCACACATGACATGCCTGGCCCCGGACGACCCCGGACGGCTCTAGGGCGCAACCTAGTGCGCACGTGTGCAGCATACACCCTCGGGATCCCCCACAGGGACACCCGGGTGACTGCGGCTGTATGCGGGGTGACGTGGCGGACCTCATGTGACCCAAGCCGCATGTATATAAATACACCTGGGGTGGGAACCGAAGAAGTAACCTTCTTCTCAACATTCCCACTTCAGGTAAGTAGCATAGTTCCCCTTTTAATAATAACTCAACATTCCCACTTCAGTCTAAGTGGCCAGGGATCGCCGTCCCATATCGGGGCTGCCAGTACGCACGCCCGATCCACCCCCCGTGAGGTCCTCAGCACCGGACGCTACGCCTGGACCGCCTCGACCCCGGACGCGACCCTGACAAGGCCCCCGTCATGATGGGTTTGGCAGCGAGGTCTGCCAGTGCGCATGCCTCTCTGAGCTCGCGTTTCAGTAATTTGATCTCCCTTTTTTGGAGATCGACTTCTCTCTCTGTGTCTTTCAGAGAGTCAAAGATGCCCTCAGCATCTCTTCGTGCTCTGTTGTATTCGCGCCTCCAGTGGGCACAATGGTCGCAGGCGTCTTCTGATGCCCTCGAGTTATCAGACCGTGCCCGTTTGGACGGTCTGGACGAGGAGCTGCTGTCGCTCCCTCATCTCCCTCCTACGAGGGACTTCATCTCTTTCAGCTCCTCACGGAGCTGACGTGTCTGAGCAGCTACCGCTGACGCAATGGCTGATTCCCAGCCTGCATTTGGCTGGGGTGTTGTTGGACCTGGGCCGAATTGGCTAATCCAGGGGTTGATCTGGCCAGGGAAGTTCCCTGGGGAGTATGCCTGGGGCTGCAGCAGCAAATGCTGCCCCTGGAATGGTGCTTGTTGCGCCATCGGTGCAGTTTGCACTGCATATGGTTGGAAGCCTCTTTGGGGAGGCTGGGGGTATGCGGTGCCTGTTAGCAATGCGGATGGTTGTTGGTTCGCAGCACTCATTTGTGCTGCATGCGTCGTGTAATCCATGGCGCTTATCTGTGCCTGGTGTTGTTGTTGTTCCGGGGAGCCTTGCTCCCCGGGTTGTCGTATTTCGATATCCGGTGGTTTGTTTGGATCGAACCGAGGGTTGCCTCCCCCAGAGAATGACATTTCGTCATTATGTTACTTGTGGTGGTGGGAGGGGTTTTCGTTCTTGCATGTGTGGGATTCGCCGCAGTTGTGTGTTCTTTTTGCACGTGAGCCTGTGGTTCACGTGGTCTAGGCGAGTTACTCGCCTAGCCCATGTGATCTCTGGTACATGGTGTGGCTGTCCGGGCGAGTTACTCGCCCAGAACTTTCCCACGCTCTTGGCTGTGGGCCATCGTCCCTTGGCTTTACTTCCTCCACCTCCGTTTTTGGGGGCGTAGTGATGCCGAGAGTTCCCTGTCTTCTTTGATAGGGAGTTTTTCTGGTTCCCTTACATTTTGTAAGGTGAGGTACTCGTCCAGGTGGACGAGGTTGTTGCAATTTCCTAGGGGTTCCCATGTGGTGTCCCCTAGTTCCCATTTAACCTTAAACCAGAGTTCGTTGTGAACCCACACGTGGTTTAGGATTTTGCGAACTACTGCTTCGTGATCGGGGTCTTCCCCAAAATCGTAGAATATGTTTACTTCCCTATTTGGGAAGGTTTCCTGGTCATTCAGCTTGTGAGGTGTGAGCCGGGATACATGGAATCTTGGGTGGATTCCGCGTTGTTCAAGTTGTGGTGGCAACTTGAGGATGTAGTTTGACGTTTCTGGAAATGTTTCCAGAATTTCATAAGGCCCTATGTATAAGGGCTTTAGTTTTCCTGCCCTGCCTTTGGGTAGGTTCAGCTTATCTGTGGATAAGTATGTGAGCTCGCCTTTTCTCAAAGGCGGGTCCGGGTGTCTTTTCTTATTCGCCTGGATTGTTTGGGCAGCGCGATTATGTATTATCGTGTCATGTGCTGCCATGAGGTTTTCCTTCACTTTTTGAGCGAAGTCATTTACTCCCGGGTAGTCCGAGAGTGGTGCTG